CAGAACCTTTGTTATTTTCCTTTTCCTGTCACCGAAGACCTCTGCCACAAGATCAAGGTATGGTTTTTTTGAAGAACGTCTCTTGCTTTCTGACCATCTGTTTCTGTCTATCTATAAAAATGCAAAGAAAACAAACTTGGTAAATAAAATTATTTTCTTCCAGAATACATTTTTTGAATGTAAATAACTGTTCATACCATTAGCTCAACAATGTTGATGTCGTTCTCTGTACTACATTGTGTCTTTTTCTTTTCAGACATAAGTGCCCCTTGGTCTTCCAGGTATACAGTGACAACTTTGTTGAGGTATTCACCTCCCATCTGGACAAGCACTTTCTCTTTGGCACCCACATGAAAGACACTGGGGGCTGAGATGAAGAATCTGTGCACAAATTCATGACGTTTAGATGTTGTTGTATTCTTTCATGGCATCCTTTGCATCACCTGCATTTAATGCATGCTGATAACCAATAGTAGTGCAACATATTTCGCATTTTAAAAATAATAGTATTTAGACAATATTTCATAAACAAAAAAGAAATATGGAGTGGCTACTATGGAATTATTGTTCAGATTAATTGTGAACAATAATTTCATACTATTTTTCACTATTAGATATTGCATATATAATCGTTGCAATATCTGCCTTGAGAAATGCAGTAGTTTTTAGATATTCAAATATCTAACAACTTTAGCAAATATTGCATAAAAATAGATAATTATAATTTCATTTACCTCTCGCCCAATGTGTTCTTCAGTATTGAGATCAAGAGAAGCACTGAAACCAGAGACCACTTCATTTTGCAGCTCTGTTGTTCTTCCTGCTCTGACACAGGCTTTGGCATAACTGCGGTTTTATAGGTCTCCCGCCCCTTTATTTCTCAATCACTGGCTCTCACATCGCACTGAACCTTTTCTTCTCTGCTGAGAAAACTTTGAGATGTCTTCTGAAGAAACATACCACTCAGATAGCTGTCTATTTTTGAACATACTAATAGGAAGCAAATAATTACAGAAAAAAATAGTATATGAATAAGAAGGTAAATTGAAAGTTGCCTGTACCACACTTTGGTTTCTGCATTCATATTCATTAGAATAAGAAACAAAAGCATTCTGTAGCACATGTTGCAAAAGATAGTGGATTCTCTGGCTTTAAAGATGGGTTATATCACTCTTTGGCTCACAGTGGGAAAAGTGTTTACTTAGGTTTCACAATGTGCAGCCCTCCTCTTATTGGTCATTGCCAGTGAACCAGATTTCCCCCAAATCATGTGATTTACAAGAAATCAAGTGCTATCTATTTGTGCGTGAGTTTAAAAAAAAGTGTTGTCTCAACATGATTTAAGAAGTTATATATTTTACTATAACTAATAAAATGTGAATTCTTATCAAAGCAAATCATTCGCACGATTGAAGTTTTGTACTATTTGCTATTATTGCAGCCCTATCTCTGCCCTCTTCATGCATTCTTTTATAGTTTACGTCTGCTTATCATTGCAGGGCTACTGATGGGTCTGGTGCCTGTCTCCAGCAGCCATTTGGCATAAGGTAGGGAACACCCTGGATTCCTCACCAGTCCATTAAAAAGCAACGCAAAGATGTACAGGACAATCAACCACTTATGAACAGACTTTCTCCCCCAGGACAGTTAAGAACAAGCAATTGATGTAAAGATGGTTGGAGGATGCTAGAGTATCCAAAAAGGACCCATGCATGGGGAGAACATTGCCTCCTTTCTACAGAATGGTGAGGCATGGGTCTGTGCAGTTTGATATTCCATTTTGTCTGTTTCCATTGTAAAAGTGGCCCATATAACTGACCTATACCACACGACTCCTTCAGTTGTAGCTTCATAGAACAAAGGAACAGAACAATTATGGTGTCAAACAACACAGTACATTTATTGAAAAACATCAATACTACAAGCATGAGACATACTGATGTGTCACGTTTGTTGTCACACAAGTATGATACAACAGTAGGGGTGTAGGTTTATATTGTTATTGATATATGAATGTTGACCTAAAAGAGAATCTATGGGATGAAGATGAGAGACACCAGATCCAACAATGCAGATGACCTGAAGACCTTCAAAGCAACCTGGGTTTGCGTTGCATCTCAGCAGTTCCACAGGCTGGTTGTATCTGTGCCACATTTTCTTCACGCAGTAATTCATGCAAAAGATCCAATGAAGAATTGAGTGCATAGAAATGAAAAACTCTTTAAGAAGAAGGACATTTTAAAGCCTGATTTTAAAATATAACATTTTAATTGAGCTTATGTAACATTCTGGTTTTCTGGGATACTTACTTTTAAGTTTTTTTTTTTTTATCAATAAGTTAAAATAATTCAAATTACAAAATAAAACATACTTTAATATGTTTTACACAATGTAATGTAACTCTGTATTACATATATTTAATTTTTTGAAATAACTGAAAAGAAATATTGAACTTTCTTAGCTATGCCAACACTAACCAGAACCAAATCAACTTGAGACGTATTGAGGCAAAATAACCAAAAGGGACTTTTTTAACAAGCTTTAAAGCATGAAACTTTAGTGCTGATCATTTGAAATATTAAGCCTCCAGTACAAACTTTGTTGAGACATTTTTCAATAGTGCTCTCTCTCTCTAGTAGAACAGACTATATTTTTCTGTGTTCAGGAGATGCGGGGGGGGAAAAAAACACTCTTCTGGCAGCCCTTCTATTAGATTTCATCCACCTTGTTCTTGCCATATCTTCAGAATAGATGTTATTTCTTGTGCAGCATCTATCAACTACAAAAGTTGCTGTAGGACTGGCTTAAAAGGACAATCCTGGAGTTCTGCATTTGAGTGCTTGTTAAGTAAAAAGAAAAAATGTTTTTTAATTGTTGTTCTTTCACTTGAAGTAAAAGAACAAATTCCTCTATTCTTGCAGATGAACATATTGGCCTCAACTTACATGTCTATGCCTGTGCTGTAAATACATTCTTGTTGAGATCTGATATCTCAGGGCCGTATAATCTGCGCTTTAGATAATGTCTTAAATCTCCAAAGTTACTCACAACATTTTGTGTTTTAGACTAAAAACAAAGCAGTCATGTGTTCTAAGTGTTCTCAGGTTGGCACTTTTCAAGCATCAAACAATAAAAATACAGACACTTGCTCCAAAGTGTAAAAAAAAAAATCATTTAATTAAACAAAAATGTCAAGTCATAATTATTCTTGACAGTTTACCTGCTGTTTTATTACAATATAAATCCAGAAAATTGCACTACAAAACTTTTCAGCAAGAACTTTTCAGGTTCTGATAATATAATAGACATAACCCATCAATCTCAATGTGTGTTGATGTCTGCATCAGTGCTGTGGATGAGAAGGGAAGTCAGTGGGAGAGGGGAGCATGATGTCCATCCACAACTCCTGGATTTGGAGCAGCAGTGCAAGAATTGCGTTTGGACAATCAACACCAGACTCCCTGTGAAATTTAGGATGAATGGGAAGGACGTCAAAGTTGTTCCACTTTACCAGATAGCTGACGAAATTGAGACAGATGTGGAAATTAAATTATAATGAAATATCTATGGATTGTGCATTCAAAAAGCACAATCCAAAATGGTCTGCTTTGTTTGAAAATAAACAGAGGCAGGATTTTAAATTTTGACAGTATGATTAATTTACTACTTCATAGAGAAAAGTTTGAAAAAAAAATCCAATACTTACATTTTCTGATAAAAATGCAAGGATAATAGTCCAACGCCAGAAGACATTTAAATACTAGACTCTGTACTGAATTGGTCTGGCATCTATCCTGCAGTCATCCTCAGCGGCTTCTTGTTCAGTTTGTCTTTCAGTGCCTTCTTTTCTATCACTTCCCATCTCATTTCATGCAGGACTGGGGTTTCCTAAGAGACAGAGGTTCAATGGAGACAATCTGCTTTTCTTCAATTAACATTGAGAGCAACAGAAGGAAAAAGCAGGGAGAGGGGCAGTCTCAGAGGAAGAGCAAAAAGAAAAGTGGGTTATATTAATTTATGGAGATTTTATCATTTCTTGGGATATTTTTCTTATATTAATTAATTTAATTATTTATAACTTTCAACTTTTCCTACTATTATTATTGAGCAAACACAAACAATAATTTCATATTCCATGAAATTTCTTAGATTCCAAATTTTTTTTTTTTTTATTTCACAACATTCATTTTCAGTTGTAAAGCAGGTCTTACATTTTATTTTTTACTTTGATATTATATTGAACCCAGTTGAGATGAATAATACCTAACCACAATCTATAAAAATTCAAAAGCTGTGACCAGCGACTTTGCATGGTGAAAAGTACACAAAAGGGTGTGGCGTGGGAATGTCCTCTGGGGTCAGGAGTGATGCTGGAAGGGTCAGAAGTCAGAGGCAGCTGGACAGCACACAAGAGGAGATGCTGGTGAGAAGTGGAGGAGAGGGAGAAGTCCAGGACTGAGACTGGACCCAGAGGGACATTAACATTGAACGCATGGGAGGCTCACTGACCATTGAATATTTGAAGAGAGGATAATCTGAAGTTTAATGATGCGTAATGATTGAGAAGTGACAACACTTTCTTTGTATAGGCAAAATGACTTACAGCAGGTGTGCTATTGTGCCTTTAGCAATAAGAAGTCACTACATAAAATCATTCAACAAATGTTCTTCAATATTGCTGTGTATTATTAAATACTGATACTGTTCCAAGATGCTACTTTGGCAACACCTTTGGTATAGCTTATGAAAAATATTAGAAAATATAAAAACTTCTTGTTTTCACCAAGGAAACGTTGTTGGCTGGTAATTTAAGCTATCCTTTATTTATTTTTATTTTTCACATTTTGTCACAAGTTAACCTTAAACTTAAATATACTGTATTTTGTTGAGATTTTATGTGATAGACCAATATCAAGTAGTGCAACTGTAAAATGAAAATTTAATTTAGGAAAAGAGAGCTACAGAAAAAAACACACACCACACTTTCCACATTTTTTATTTGTAAAGACATTTCACTTTTCCTTCATCTAACAAATATTGCTTGCAACAGTCTAATGAAAAATAATCAAACAAGTCTTTGTCAACGTGCCAAAACATAAGTGACAGAAGCATAAATACTTTTGCAATGAACTATTTAATCATGACCTACAAATGTAGAGTGGTCACACAGTACAGAGCACAAAGTGTGGAATGTTGTGCATGGTTTTTTTACACCACACCTTCTGTGATCTCTTTGATTACTTCCGACGCGTGCCAGCTTTAAATTATAGACAGGTTCAACTGGTTTGTTGAGTCACTTAAAGAAAAAAAAATCAAGGAACACTATAATAAAAATAAACATGTACTAACACAAATACAACTATGTATTCCTTAGCTGTAAAAAAAAAATAATTTTTTGTAACTGAAACATAAAGGCTGTGAAAAAGTCACTGATTTACAAAAAAAGGTGCAAAGTACATAAAAATAATCTTTTCTTTGTTATAATAGCTCTGAGTAACTTTCTGTGTACTAATGGTGTATTGGTACACTTTGTTTTCTCTGTAAGCTCTCCTGAGGGCCAGTTCCTTGACTTTTATTTCAAGCAGACGCTCTTGACAGCCAGGCCAGGAGGTCCATATGCAGATTTTCACCCCTGAACAAGAGGTGCAGCGCCAATCAGTTTTCTCACATTACTCTTGCTTGGGTGGGCAGATTCACATGTCTGCGTATCTGCATATAGATTAACAGACATGAACACAACGTATAGTGTGTTCATATTGATTTAGAATTAGACATGAACAATAGCAGAGGATGCTGTATTTCACCTAAAGTCATACACAATCATAATACCTTGTTTGTAGTTCAGAAATGTTAAGTGTTTGATGTTTTACATCTTAAAAACTTTGCAAAAATGCAACTCATACCCAGCTTCATGACAATTTTGTCATTGTCTTTACTGAAAGTGTCTCATTTACCACAGGTCTGGCAGATGAAATTCAGTTCCTGTGTTTCTGGCAACCCGACCCACTGCTGCCTCCCTGTGGCCTCAATGGCTCCACTCTCACCACACTGAGTTGCCCTTTCTGGTCCTTCTCCTGGCTGCCAGTTCTGGTAACAGCTTGGAATCGAGCTGGTCCAGAACCAAAAGTTAAAGTTACAAGTGAAGCGTAAACCAAGCCACACGTGAGGGGATGTAGAGCTTCTTGCCTTCTCAGCTACTTTGTCTTGAATGTCTTCATTGGTAATCTGAACTAGGTCAACATAGTGCTCCCTGCAGAAGCTCAAAGCTGAAATCCATGTCATATTTTTCTGGATTAATATCATCCCGTCTTCTGGAAAATATAGAATATGGAATCAGATTTTGGCAAAGTAAAATTAATGGCACATGGGTTTGTGAAACATACCTGAATAAAAACTGCTGACAGTCGACATTGGAGTTGGTGATTGGGTTGTTGTTTGGATTGATGTTCCGGTCTGAGCTGATGGTGTGAAAACACTGTTTGTTGTTATATTCACAGTAGTGTTTCGGGGTGGTTGTTTTGGTGTTACTTCTGTACTGTTCAGCTGAGGCATTGTAGGAGGTGAAACAGCCCCTGTGGTGTTAGGAGCAGTTGGTCCAGTATCTGTTAATGGTGCTGGTGTGGTAAGATTTTGCGGTGGTGCTGTTGATGCAATTGTTGGCATTTCTGTATTTGTACTATTAAGATTAGTGGTTATGGGATGTGAAACAACCTCAGTACTGTCAGATGTAGTCAATCCAGTGGCAGTTGATGATGTCAATGTGCTAACATTTTGGAGTGGTGGCGTTAGTGTCATTGTTGGCATTTCTGTGCTTGTGCTGTTGAGCTCAGAAGTTATGGGATGGGAAACAACCTCGGTGGTGTTAGACAGATTTGGTCCAGTGCCAGTTGTTGGTGTTTGGGTGGTAATGTTTTGAAACTGATGTGTTGTTGACATTGTGGGTATTTCTGTGCTTGTATTGTTGAACTCAGTGATGGTGGGGTGTGAATCAACCTCGGTGGTGTTAGATGTAATCAGTTCAGTGATTGTTGATAGCCCTTGAGTTGTATTATTTTGCTGCAGTGGTGTTGTTGTTATAGTTGGCATTTCAGTGCTTGCATTGTGGAGCTCTGTGGTTTTGGGATGTGATCCAACCTCTGTGGTGTTAAAAGTAATTGGTCCAGTGACAGTTCTTGGTGCTGGATTGGTAGCATTTTCAGGCATTTCTGGCGATGTCATTGTTGCTATTTCTTTATTTGTACTGGTAAGTTCAGTGATCGTGGGATGTGAAACAAACTCTGTTGTTGTAGATGTAGTCAATCTAGTTCCAGTTGTTGGTCCTGGCATGGTGTCATTTTGGTGCAGGGGTGTTGGTGTCATTGTTGGGATTTCTGTACTTGTGTTGTCAAGCTCACTGGTAATGGGATGTGAAACAACCTCTGTGTAGGTAGATGTCGTCGGTCGAGTAACAGTTGATGGTGCTGGGGTGGTAATATTTTGGGGTGGTTGTATTGATGCCATTTTTGTACTTGTATTATTGGATGCTGTGGTGATCGGATGTGAAATAACCTCTGTGGTCTTAGATGTAGTGTGTCCAATGGTAGTTGATGGCACTGGGGTGGTAACATTTTGAGGTGGAGGTGTTGTTAAAGTATATATTGTATCTGCAGTCAGTACAGATGTAGTTGATGTTTCTGTAATGGTAGCATTAGTAATCTGCTGTTCAGTGAAAACCAAAGTGGAATTAAAAGTTGCTGAACCTGCTTGAGATGAAATAAGTGGAGGAGTTTCCATATTAGTTGATGCAGGGGATGCAGTTATGCTCTGTGTAGTTTGTAAGCTGGTGATTGTTGGATTTGTTGCTGTAAAAGTGTGAATAGACAGAAGGATGATGTAGATTTGTTCTGTTTTGAGGAAGATTTAAACAACTACTCATTCAAACTTTAACACAATTTAAATGACAACTTTCCTCAAATATTACAAAAAAATAAAAATAAAAATAACATACCTGCCCCACAAATGACACTGTTTCTGTTATTGCAGTTCTGACTGGACCACTTTCCATTGTTTCCTAAGTTAGCTGTGACACAGTCCCTATTGCTACGATAGTTGGGTTCACTGCTATCCCAAAAGCGGAATGGTGAGTCACTGCCACCCGACCATGTCCATGGATCTTTGAAAAGGCCAATCCACAACCTTTCAGAAGTGGATATGTTGCGGACTGCTTTATTTTCCTCTGCTGAGTGTATAGTAACCAGATCAGATGAAAGGTTCCAGCAATGACTGCGAGCATCCCTCCATGATTTTTTAGCCTGAACAAAGATGTAAGTGCTGACATTCCTGACACCTGGAAAAAAAGAGAAGACATTGATGCTTTAAATGTGTTATACACTCATCACTCATTTCCAAGTGCACCAAGTGATAACCGGGAACATCATTGTAAAGTTTTATTATTATTCATCATTCCAGTATTTTAACTTCAAAAAGTACCATTTATATAAAGGAACAAATTATAATACACAGAGATATGATAATTATACTATAATTATATGATGATGATAGATTACGACTAAAGAGAGCCCAAAATGTAGTTTTTCCAGACACTAATGTAACACAAGACCGATAATAAAGATGCTTAGAGCAGTGAGATTATGTTATGGCCCACACAAACAAAGGGAAAACTTTTTACTTGACATCTGTCGAGAACTGTTTGACAACAGCAGATAGCATTGATGCCTTGCACAAGGAAGTTGGTTGTGAAAAGGTAATTTCTGAAGAAATCAGAAGTATTCACAGAAAATGTGATGAAAAATTGGGTGAAAGGACAAAGTGTGGTAAAGGATGGTGTGTAAGCAACTGGAATAATGTCAGCTTTGCGTGCATTGTGAAGCAGTCCCCATTCAAGAATTTCAAGGACATTTTCTGTGGACTTAAGCTGGAGTTAGTGTTTACAGACGTGTCCAGGACAAGAACTTCAATTGTCATTACTGATGTTTAGGCACTGCTGAACCCTAGACTTTAAGAATTGTCTTATCTGGACTAAGGAGAAAAAAGGACACAACTGTTACTCCATTGTTAAAAGTTCTCTTTTCAGGTGACTAATATGTTTTTTCTTATTTGAAAAATTAAAGCCAAGAATCTAAAGAAAATATAAAGAGGTCCACAATTCAAGTTGCTTAAAGCTCAGTGTAAAGTCTGCACTAAGTGATGATTTGGGTATCTTTGTATTTTATCAAGTCCAAAATCATTCCAAGCCTTGATTAGGAATTATTTGAGCTTGCTTCCCTCTGCTGAAAAAACTATGGAAATACAGATTTCATTTTCTAACAAAACATGGTATACACTGCCAAAACTTGCTTTAATGACTAAGGATTACTGATTCACCTGAATTGAATCCCATAAAGAATCAAAGGAGTATTGTCAAGAAGACCTGGATTTCTTTAAACTTCCAGCAGTGCCACAGGCTAACTGTCTCCATGTCGCATCACAATGATGAAGTCAGACATGTTAAAGGAACCCTGAACAGGTACTCAGTAAAAATACTGTACAGTAGCCTATGTCAACATACTTTTCAGAAGCTTTATTGGTCTTATGTTATATTCACATTGTCTGAAAAACTGAATTTTATTATTTTTTTTATCAACTGTAATCCAATATCAACAAGTAAGTGCTGAAATATATCTGTGCATAATGAATCTAGTGAATATATGAAGCCATGTCCACATGGAGACAATTTTAGGTGTATCTGCAAACAGTTTTTGGCATTTAGGCTGTGTGGCCACACTGATGCAGCATTTTGTGAGGCCGGAAACTTTTGAAACTAACTTCCAGAATTAATAGCTTTCAAAATGTCATTTTTTTTGTTTCCATGTGGCAATATGAGACACTTTGATTGTCTGTTGATGCCTTTGCTCCATGTCTTTATCCATCCCACATGTGCCTGTCTCTCACAAATAACAGACATAGTGCCTTTTGGTGTACTTTTTATTGTCTTTGTATGGCAGAGTTTTAGCGCCACCAGCATATCAGTGTCAGTAAGGATGCAGTCTGTCATGTGGAGACACATTTGTTTTCCGTAACTCTTACAAAAATTCACCATGCTCATCTCCATGTGTTCAGGACCTGATTTTCTTTCTTTTTTTTTTTTTTTTTGTTGAATTAACAGATTTAAAATTACTTATAAAATTATTATTTGAGATAGACTTTACAATCACCTACCTTGGCAAACAAAGCTCTCTGGAGTTCCACAATCATTTTCGAGCCATATTCCATTTTGATTCATGACTGCACATGCTTCTTGTTCATTATTCCGTGGTTCTCCAGTATCCCAATTTAAAAAGCTTGTTCCTTGATCAGACCCAGTCCAGTGCCAAATCCACAGGTTTCCAAGCTCCAGTCCTATCCAAACGTTACTAGCAGGTGGCAAAACTAGATTGATCATGATATTAACTTCTGCTAAATTGTAAACAGTGGCTACATCGGTATTCATGTTTCTACAGTAAGTCCTTGCCTGGTCATACTTCATCTTCTCAGTCGTTATCTGAAAGCCTGAAGATTCCAGCGGGTACATGAAAATCACTGTGAAGAGTAAAACAATAACTTTTAAACCGAGTAACAATCGTAAAAATTGTATAATTTGTACATTTGCATTGTTGTTATTTAAAAAAAAGAAAAAAGATTTGCATCAATATGACTACTTCTTCAATATTAATATCCTAAATAACCACATATTCTCTACCAGGAAAGCAATAAACAAAACATGTTTTGTACTAACCTGAGGTAATAATTAAAAACACAGTTGAAGTCCTTCGAGTTAATAGCCATATTTCAGTCATGATGAAGGTTCACTTGGATAAAATAAGATCAAGTAAATAATGTCAGAATATAACCATTTGCTGCTCCTGTCAAAGGGTTCTGGCATGCAGCTTTAAGCAGCTAAGTGTCGATAGTAAGAATGCCACCTGGCGTGTAAAAAGATACTTTCCCAGGAACTACTTGAAGGAAAGCAGTTTGTCAAGTTCCTTCATTCTTATACATACAGTGGTATGTGGTTTGTTGAGATGAAACAACGCCTTCTTCTGGCATTAGGTGCAGACTCATTATAAACTAAAATGAACACATGAACAAAAAAAAAAAAAAAACTGAAAATATTTTGAAGCAACATGTCACATTTGGGGTTGTTTTGTGTCAAGTTATTACAAGCCTCTGTTTACGTTTTTAAAAAGTAAAGTATGTTTTATCAGGAAATTGCATGGAAATTTGAACCCCGCACTAGATACTTTGGATGTGGAAGAGTTCTGTAAACAGAATAAGTGGTATAAAAACACGTTGTGTAATCTATTCATTCTCTCAAGGAGGAGAAAATGCATTCCAGCTACTATAAAGGTGTGGCCATTGTAAAACTTTGCTTAGATTGACTGCAGACTGAACAGTGACCCATAAACAGATTAACTAAAAGCAACACATTTTTTTTTTCTATTTGAACTGGTTTTTAACAATCCACCACACCAAAACCACAGCACTCAAATACTTCCTTTTATCAGGCAGTGAAACTTTTATCTCAGTCTGGTGCTGTAGTAAACCATTGAAACACCACTTGATGTTTCCTGTTACTGGGAAACTATTTACTCAATAACAGTTTATTATTGTGCAACAACATATGTATAAGGGAATTTGCATTTTGTTTCAACTCATTATGAAATAAATAATACATACTGAAGATAAAGAGGTTAAACGTCATAGGTGTCATATGACAGCGCTGTTATGGGTGGTCCCATGAGACATTTTGGCTCTGGTGGATGATGGCTCAGAGCCAACATGGCCTGTAAACAACAACAGCAGCGTCAAAGTAAAGTTAACTGAATCTGATTGTCGGCGTGCACTCTGGTCTAAATTAGAAGAGCTAACGCGTGGTGGTTTTTCAACAATGCTTCGAAAGTATATATGGTATGTAACTCCAAACACAAAACAACCAGAGCCTAGATTTGCCACCACACTTTCTTGGAGCTAGACGTGCTCTTGGCTAACTCACTTAGCCGCGTTAGCCAAGTTCGCTTGCTAACTTGCTAGTCTTATCTATCTCAAGATAATTCTTTGAGTTGGGATTATTTGGGTTCGTAGGGTGGGATGAAGCGAGGTATTGCTTGTATTCGAATTGGGATATTTCAACTTTGTCCCATTGCTTTGTCAAAAAACGTAGAACCTAACTTTCGGACGTCGGTAAGCAAAGCTAATGCTAGCTAAAAATGTCTGTTTGCGAGGCTTGCAAGGAGTTACGGTTTTGCATCAAAGCATCCCTTAATAAAATCAAGGAAGATTGTACTTTTAGTGGCTTATAAATATACAATGTTAAAGTGTGGAGAAAAAAAATGCACTGGAGCTTATTTTTCACTTGCATCGTTTTAAATGTTGTGACGTATTTAATCGGGCAGCGGTAATGCGCTTGTAGCAGTTAGCAAATGTGAAATTCTGTTGATAAATAAAGCCAACTAACAGTGTGTTGATTAAACACATCTTTCTAGCACACGTGCTTGAAGATTCACTGCCACAATCTTGATCATGAGTCCTCGTACCATATCACATGTTTTGATTTTAGCTGTAGATTTTGGACTTGAGAATACGCGACATCTCTTAATATATTGATCTATTACAATACTACTTGTGCAATAAGATAATGATGTACGTCAAAACAAAGGATAGGATTTGAGAGGACAATAAAGTAACTATTTTAAGTGCTAAGATCATGGATATTGAGGATTAAGATATTTGGAGCGCTTCTAAAGCTGATGGTAATCTACAAGAAAAACTCTTAAAACGTCTGATCAAAATCTTAAATCTTAATCTTAAAAAAGACAATAATAATTGTAATAATTCCCCGAAATTTTGGTATTGTTAATTTACATATGCAAAAAATCACGTTTGTTTCTAATATATTTTTACCATTAAAATGGTGATAACAGTTATTAGGCCTAGACATAAAAAAAGAATAAGTCAGCAAATTTTTTGAATAGCAAGTAAAACACATTTTTGCGAGGACTGCGCAACCAGTAATATAAATATAAATCAAACGATTACAGCAAAAAGCAGCAACAACACTTCACTTGCAGTGACTTTTATCTATGTATTGTTTATACCTATGCTTGTTGTTTTGAAATTATTTTACTCTCTATGTTTAGTTGTTTTCTGTCAGTTTGCATTAATTTAAAACATTAATTTAAAACAAACAAACAAACAAAAAAAAACACAACCATAAATGTTTTAGAAAACCTCTACCTGTTGTCTCTGCTGTGCTAACGGCATCTTCTTCTTTCAACCTCAGATTAACATCCTGAAGACGGAACATCATTCTCTTCAGCGGGTAGTTTTCAAGCCATGTCCGCACCTCAACCTAATAGCTCAGCCTCCAACAGCCCAACCAACTTCATAGGTTCTCCTTTTTCAGTGATAAGTCCTTCTCTCAGCTCTCCGGTGGTATCTCCCTCTCTGGGATTTGGACCTATCAGCAGTAGTCAGGTATCTGTTTAGTAGCTATATGAGTAATTGTACTAATCTATTTGGGTCTGAAAATTACTGTATTGCAAGAAGTCTTACAATTGTTTTAGAGCACCCCAGATGAGCTTTGTCGTTTTTTTAGAACCTTTTGTTGCCTTTTCACCACCAAATACTTCCATTTTTTTATTTGCACACAAAACAATTTTGCTATTGCTGGACTTAGCCGTCCTACATCAGTTTATTTCTCTTGGTGGTTAAATAATATTTTTTTTAATCACAAAAAAGAAACAAAACAAAAACAATATATAGTTTTATTTACATCTTGTTTTGTACAGATTGGGAAATACACCACAGATTTTGTTGGTTGGACTTCTGATCACAGTTTGTTCCAGTTGACTCTTATAAAATGTAGGAGATTAGGATCCATATCACAACAAAGTAACTATAAGCAACCTCCTGTCAGTAGGTAATATTTTTGTCTTAGAGGAAGAAACTATTGCAAAATATGTAGAAATTGGCACGATTGGTATAAAATGTTTTATTTTAAATTGCTCCTTACAGCATCCAAAAGAGCAGGGAGAAATCAAGGGATGCACTGATCCACTTTTATCATTTCTAATACAGATACATGGGGTTTAGTATTAGCAGATACCAATATGACAGAAAAAACATAGCTGAGTTGACTTAAAAAATATTTTTTTAAGTCAATATTTTTAAAGTTATAATTCAAATTCAAAATTGGACATAAAGATATTCAATTATCTGATCATTTATTTGATAATTCTTCATCAGCACAGCACACTTAAATACACAAGTAACTTCACAAGCTTAGTAAAACCTGTTAAAACAGCAGTTCAGTCAGTGCAATAAGGAGTATAATAGTCAATGTAAAATAAATAATAAAGAAACTAAAATTGACACAAGCAATAGGGTTAAGTACCTTGGCCAAACATGTAAACAATAAACTGCATTTAACCTTCTTTCAAATGGTTCAGAAAGTGCGATTAGGAATTCTAAATATAATGTTAAATACATGATAAAGCATTAGGATTAGAGGGAATAGATCTGCCCTTTTGGATTGAGAACATTGTCATTGATTTGCCGATCTAGAATATTTGTCAATATCTGGGCCCATTAATGAGTACTAGTTTCTTTCTAAGTACTAGTGTGATGCATTGTTGGAATGTTTTTTTTTCTTTACATTGACTTGGTTTTTAACTAAAAGAATTCTTGTATATCCAGATTTCGTCTTCAGCACCAATATCAGGGATGCATTCAGTCAGCAGCTCAGAAGATATTAAGCCTCCATTTGGCCTGAGGCCCATGCAAGCTCACAGCCCGGGAATAATGATGTCTCAGAAACGACTGTGTGTGATCTGTGGTGACCGCTCTTCTGGTGAGTGAACTGTTGAAAGCCAGCACTAGTTTTCTGTTTATTATTGATTAAAATAATCCAAAATGTTCATAAATCTCTTGCCTTCCCTCCTTCATTTTGTTTGACCATCTTAAGTTTCACTTACCTGTTTAATCTTCAGGCAAACACTACGGTGTGTACAGCTGTGAGGGGTGCAAAGGTTTCTTTAAACGAACTGTGCGCAAAGACCTGAGCTACACCTGCAGGGACAACAAGGAGTGCCTGGTGGACAAACGCCAGCGCAACCGCTGCCAGTACTGCCGCTACCAGAAATGCCTGGCCATGGGTATGAAGAGAGAAGGTACGCAAGGAGAAGTGTCAAATATAACATCCACTAGTTGTTTTTTGTTGTGTGATGAACTATGGCTGTTATTAGAGTTATTCAAATAGTCAAAGTAGTTTTGGATTGGCATCATAGTTTTAGAGAGAGTGGATGTTGGCTTGGACAGAGATAGATTTATTGGACTTGGGGTGAAAAAAAAAAAACAACTAACGCCTCTTTGTCTCTTCCCTCCACTTTCTCCAATTCTACCCTTTCCCCGTCTGTCAATAGCGGTAAATCCTATAAAGTGGAAAAACAAGGATGGAAAAGATGAGGGATGGATGAGTATGTTGTCTAAATTTCAGAGATTCTGTATCTTAAATCTACTTCCACATTTAGAAATGCTAAGAAAATGCTAAGCAGAATAGGCTCATGTGTGACTTTGTGCTGTAGAGTGGAAAAGAGAGACAGCTAGTGCACTTGGCTGCTGAGTGATGATGGACTGCTCTGTTAAGCAGCTACAGCTGTGTGCTCGTTTTGTGAAAATGAATGAAAATCCCATCTGTGTTGACAAAGTAAAGATTATGGTTGTTCATATTTTAGGTATGCTACTAGAACCCCAAAGCATGTCTTTTAAGCCTTGCATGCATGTACTAGCTCACCTTTATTAGATAATTAGATTGCTTATTTTGTCTCGAGGGATTCTGTTTGCTCTGATCACTGACACTTGATTACCTTCAAGTGTCACTTTTTATTACTTCGCTCAGAAGCCCATTCTCACAGCAATATCGAGATGATTTCTCACAGGATCTGAGTGAAAAGAAGCCTGAATATTAGCACTTTTGGCATCTAATGAAAAGTCCTGTGGCGTAAGCTACTTATTAATCACTCTTCTTTTGATTGTCATTATAAATGTCTGTCTTGAGGTTTCTAACAAACAAAATGTAACTATCTAGGCAACATTTACACTGGAAATTGAAGCAGAAATTTATAGCACAAATGAAAAATAGTGCACTCAAAATAGTAAAGAAAATCATTCCTACTGATTTCATAAATGACTAATATGGCATATTAATTATACTAAAAATAGATGTAACATTTGTTTATTGTTCTTTTGATTTACATAGAAAGACGTATGAATCAATGTAGAATACATTTAAATGTAAGTCTTAGTTTCTATTTTAGTGATTGTTTGCAGGTAATAACTGAGGAGGCCACTTTTGGCACTGGCTGGCAGTACACAGCAATAATAGGAAAAAGGAATCCTGTCACACATGTATCTAGTATGTGACAAGTACTAGATAAATTGTGTTTATCCAGGATTAACATAATTGATCTGTCCCCCCAAAAGTTTTATAGTGTTACATTTCTGAGTCTCTAAATTCAAAAGAACTTTAGGCACAAAGTAGTGGAAGTTTTGTATCTCCCTAAAATGTCGAGATAATCCTGATATATTTGATAATGGAAAAAAAAAAAAATCTATTACATCAGGCTTAAATTTATCAACCATTCTGTGATTTCCTTTGAGTAATAAACTAAAGTCACCCCCAGTAGTAAACTTCAAAATTAGACTCTTATTGCGTTGGAAAACAACTGGCCTTGAAAATCCCGTTTCATTTGGTGATAAATTATTTCACCGTCATCTTCTGGTCATGGGAAAGATTCAAGCTGTACTGCGTGGGAGGATTATAACTTCTCCACACCCACAAGATTGTCTTCGTTTTAGGTCTACATATCTTTGTAGACCTAATTAAGTGTCTGGCATCACTGTCACACTGCATGACTCAGCATGAACAAAAGCCTTTTTCTGTCATGACTAACAAGAATTTGTGGTGTATCTGTGGAGAACATTTGTTCTGTTCTGAGTAGGTTCCTGAGTCTGGTATTATTATTAGTGAATTATATTGGCCAGTACACCAGGCACAAAGAAATGTCGAGGATGTTTGGGTTCTGACCGACCACCCCGATGCTAAATCCATCCATCTGTCCATGTCCCTAAAATTCATTTTATTCTGTTCCGGGTTGTTTGAGGTTTGCAGTTTGTCCCAGTTGTCAACAGATAAGCGGCAGGTTACACTGTGACAAATCAGCAGCAGATCTTGCAGCATCATTACATTTATTCATGGAAAATATCTTACTAACTTTGGTGTATTATGATGTGTGGCTTGCAGCTGTGAGCTGTCTGACAATTGGACAAGTTTTGTAACTAGACCTCCCCTAGTGGCAGACTTTGGTACAGAAATGCAGGAAACTCCATAGGACTTACTGTTTACGTTAAGAGGTTGCAAGCTGATCTTTTTTTTATTGTGAAAAGGCAGAACAAACCTTTTGTTCTACATTGCCTATAATGCAGGTTTAAAGAGGACTAAATAACTGGACTGATACGGATGCTGCTGGCAGATATCAGTTTCCCATTTCCCTTGAAGTTTGATCTTGAAAGTTAAAAGACATGACACAAAAAAGAAAATGTAACGCAGTTTTTTTAAAATTTATTTTGTACTTATTAATCCAACAAAAAATATGATGAGTAGACCAAATTATGTTTCTAACCTTGACCTGATAGGTACAAGTGCATAAAATAAGCACACTGAAAACGACAGTTCTTGATGGGGAAAGTTTAATGTATTCATTGAAAATGTGGGGATGAGGGAAGATAGATTTTTTGTATGATCTTCTGTTTCTTAGAATATGATTTGATCATGATGATCATGGATCAGAGACCATCAGAGAAAATGATCTGATTCCGATCTCTGAACAATGAATTGGTAGCTGTATGCTGTTGAACAAAAAAAAAAGAGTGAGGGAAAGAGGAGACACCAATGTGAAATTAAAAAAAAAGTTGTAATAACCTAACTTAAAGTTTCAACGTCAATATTAAGCCTATTTAATTTGAAAGAATAATATATATTAAAAAAAAAAACTTCTAAAATTGTAAAACTATTAAGCTACTATTAAGAATGCAAATATGAGCTTTCAAGTTGGATTAAAAGCCAATGAATCCGAAAGTCCATTAAATCTCTCTGTGTACATTCTGGAAGTGTTTCTTTGTGTTTGTCTGCTGCAGCGGTTCAGGAGGAGCGCCAGAGGAACAGAGAGCGCGAGGGAGAGCTGGAGTTCAGCTCCGGAGTGAACGACGAGATGCCTGTGGAGAAGATCTTGGAGGCGGAGATGGCGGTGGATATGCGGATTGATCTGCACTCAGACAGAGGGTCTGCAGGAAACTCTGTGAGTTCTTAGAACACTGCATGTGTGTTTTTTTTCTTCTCCTGTATTTTTCTAAAAAATAAAACAAAATTGGCTTTATTTGTTTTGCAAGTAATCGGAAAGTAATTGTGATGTGTTTTGTAGCCCCATGATGCTGTTTCCAACATCTGCCAGACTGCTGACAAGCAGCTGTTTGCTTTGGTGGAGTGGGCAAAGAGAATCCCTCATTTCTCCGAGCTGCCCCTTGATGATCAGGTCATCCTCCTGCGTGCAGGTATGAATATCGACTATCAGCTTGAAAGTAAAGTCAGCACATTCAGATTCTTCTTAGAGAAAAGGTAAATCGCTGCTATAGAGAAACAGGGTCTGCAGGTTGTAGACCCTGGCAATCTGGTCTGTGGCAAATCACCAGGGTCAGTTGTTAAAGCTTTGACTCACGCTGTGGGAGAGACTATTAAATTACTGATTACTAATTATTGTTGATAAAAAGCATTGTGCAATGCTTTTCATATAAGCGTTATATAAAATGCTTGTATAAAAGCATTTTATACAATGCTTTTATAAAATTCCTTGTAGCAAATGTATGCAGCGTTTAACACATTGTGGACCAAAAACTTAAATGAAACAGCAATAGACAGAGTGGTTTAACCTTAGAGTGGAGAGAATTAGTATAACCCAGCAGTTTACATTCAGACATGTGTTACCTCTGAATAGAGTTGTACATAAATAAGCAGGAGAATAATTATCTGCACTGCTGCTTGTATTTATTAGGATGGAATGAGCTCCTGATTGCCTCGTTCTCCCATCGCTCCATTCCTCTGAAGGATGGCGCTCTGCTGGCGTCCGAGCTGCAGCGTGACAGCGCCCACATGGCCGGAGTTGGTGCTATTTTTGATAGGTACATTTACCTGGATAATATGTTTCAGGATGCTTAAAAGTAAATGACAGCTAACATAATCAGCTGTCATGTGGCTACTCATACGGATTTGCTATTGTAGATGGACGCATGTCTGTCTGTTTAAAATATTTTCCTCAAGCAGACTTCCACATTGTTCTTTAAGAATGTAAATCTCTGCATAAATGACGTGTTGAAACATATTGACTGTTAATGTTGCAACAGAAACGTGTGTGTTTGTCCATGTAGACATTTTTTAGCCAGTTTGTTTCATGTTTTATTGTGTTTTTTCTAACGGATCTAAACTTCCCAGGGAGAGTGTGCAGAGTGCAGAAGTTGGTGCCATATTTGACAGGTACTTGTACAGTTCTTCGGTGTTGTTATTTCTGAGTTCATAATTTGAGTGTACATGTTGAATAATTTTACACATTTTCCCATACTGCAGAGTTCTTACTGAGCTTGTTAACAAAATGAGAGATATGCAAATGGACAAAACAGAGCTGGGCTGTCTCCGGGCTATTGTCCTGTTTAACCCAGGTAATTTGAGAATGCATGAGCATAAGAATGATTAATATAGATGCACTAATTGAAACATTGTAATCGTTTATGGATCTCAAGTCTGTTTAAAGGTTTGTTCTGCTGGTAACTTTCCATGTCATTTTCAAACTATTATTGACAGAGTTTTAAAGAAAATGCAAAATGATCTTTTACTAGCAGTTGGGAAGGAAGGTAGCATTGCTAACAAAAACTTTAATTTTTTTAGGAGAATATAGATTCACACCTTGACTCAAAGCCATCCAAAGAGCTGTCAAAAGTTTCATAATCCAGCTGCAGCCAGATTTAACTGCACAATCATAGAAATACTGTTTCTGATCTTACAGTTACTGAGAATAGCTACAGTAGAGTTTTCTTTCCTGAGCATCAGCGTTCATATCAAAGACAATTTTGTTTAGATTTAGTGTGTTCAGTTTTGACACACTAAATCTACCAGTGAATTTTGACCAGTGAATGTCAATCAAGTTGAAAATGACCAGATTCTAGTCAATGGCAGATCTCTTGGAGCATCTGAAATAGATTTTTTTCTCTTCATAGTTGAAATGTATCATATAATAATTGTGCTTATCAATGTTGTTCTGCTAGATGCTAAAGGGCTCTCCAGCACAAGTGAGGTGGAGCTCCTTAGAGAAAAAGTCTATGCATCACTGGAAGCTTACTGCAAGCAGAAGTATCCAGAGCAGCAGGGAAGGTAAAAGTCCTGTGCTGTGAAGCATTGACTGGTGCATTATTTATGTCTCTGAGGAAAAACTAATGAAGCGATTTCTCCATGCAGGTTTGCTAAGCTCCTCCTTCGACTTCCAGCGCTGAGATCCATTGGCTTGAAGTGCTTGGAGCATCTTTTTTTCTTCAAACTGATTGGGGACACGCCTATCGACACCTTCCTCATGGAAATGCTTGAAGCTCCCCATCAGTTGTCTTAGACAGGAGTACTGTGGATTTCAGAAAGCTGGAGTCTGGGGAGGCGGGCGTGGGACTGGAGTGGCACTTTAAGTTCTTTTTAAGATTTGTCAGTTTGTCTCACTGCTGTCTGCATTACACCTTAGTGCAGCACAGTTTTGCTCTTTAGACCAAACCCAAGGCTTGGCATGACCTTCGAGCTGGTGCTACGTGTTGTCATAACGTCATGAGTAAAAACTATGGTAAACACATGAATATTTTTAAGAAAAATATTTACATATTTCTCTCAGAGTGGCTATAATTTGGGTACTCATTTTTATAAGACTTTTTAAACACCTAAACTCATCTCTAATGCCTTTCTTTTTGATTCAAGAAGAATGCATCCTGAATAACGCTTTGTGAAACATTTTTTTTTATTATTTAAATCAAATCTAATAATGCATTATGGTGTTCAGAAGGTCTGAATTGACTTGACAGAATCTGAAGCCTGAGATTGACACCAGGTTGAAATACCAGAATTAAGTCTGCGTCTCTTCTATACGTTGCTCAGTGTTTACATATTTTCCCTTTAAACCAATTCAAATCTGTTCCCTATTGTATTTCATGACAGGAGTAAATTGCACATTTGGTATTTGTGCTACTTTTAAAACAAACGTTGAACAAACCGACCTGACCTTCCCGGCATTCGGGGTTTGTTCGTTTGTTGTTGTGGTGCTATTTCAGAGATGATTTGACATTACTGGTGAAGTTGCACACCAAACCATAAACCTAACAAAATATGGACAACTAGAAATTCCTTTTTGTTCTTTGTTTTTAAAATGTAGCAATATAATATGTCTGCATAAGCCTGTCAGTTATTCAATGTTTTGCAGAGATAAAAAATGTCCAGTGGAAAGGGAATACTCCATGATGTACTTTATCTATACAATTATGAGGTACTGTGCTAAACAAAAGGGTCAGGGAAAATGCACATAAAAAAAATTTGAATAATTGCTAAATTCAAAGTATAATGTTATTATGCACCCTTGTTTTTAGATGGAATAAAGCAAAATGTGTTTTGGGTTGCACTGGATTTGCTGAGACTGATCAGCTTTGTTTTGTGCTGTTTGTGATGCTTGGTTTCCACCCCATCTTTCCCTTCATTTTTTGTAGGTAGCTTACTTTTTCTTCATACAGTTTCTGCTGTTTAATAAAAAAGAAAAAAATAAAACCATAATCAAATTGAAACCCAGAAGACCTTGATGTACAGATGATGTAACCAAGACCACATGAGGTCTGTGTGGAAAACGCTATACAGGAAAACACTACGTGAGCAATATCAGCAGCCTGTCATCCACTTCTGCGCTCTTGAACTTTTAAGTAACTTGAAGCATGAGTTTTGTGGACTAAAAGAATAAAGAAGATTGCGTTTTTCTTGCATTTTCATCATAAGTGTCACATGTGAATTTTTCTTTCTGCTTAAATCCAGTACAACTGAAGGATGATTAAAAAATAGTCCCAAAGGTGTTTCAATGAGCTTTTTTATTGTAGTTACATAGATTTGCTGTGGGGATGTATACAACAGAAGCCTTGGTTTTAATACTATTTTTGTTTGAGGTGAGATGCAACAGGCCACAGTACATAAGGGCTAAAAGTAAGAAATATGAAGTGCAAGAAAATCAAAGGCTTTCAACCTGAAGCTGCTGGTTAATTTGATCTTTTTGTAAAAACAAAACAAAAAATCAAAGTGCATCTAATTAATCTGAAGCTCGGAAGAAAAGAAAAAAAGTTGCGTTTCTTAAAGCCAGTCATGGTTGAATTTGCTTAACTATCACAATAACACTTTCAGCCTTTCCTGAAACACGCAGGGCCAAAGATGAACAAAAAACACTTCTAAATAGTTTCTATTATTTCTCATAATTGATAACTTGTCCAGTCTGGATACTTTCACTTTCCTTAATTATAGGTGCATCCAAATAAATTATATCAAAAATAGAATTCAGTAATTTGTTTCTAGAAGTGCAACTTGTATTTTATTACACACAGTTCTGAGCCTGTTGATTTTGGCTTGAAGCTGATGAAAAGCCAAAATCCAGTTTCTGAGTTTTGTTTCAAAATAGAGCTCTCCATTAAAAATCTTTTTCAGAAACCTGGGCTTTTCAAAGGTTTCTCCAAATACTGCAGTGCATACGCTCCATGCTGATCAGAGCTCCTGCATCAGTTCAACGTGGCATGGATGTGATCCTGAAGACCAGGTTGAGTAAATTTTATGATGACATAAAGACGACTTTGAACTTTGAACAGCCCAGTCTTTTTCTCCTTACACATTTAATTGCTGTAAATCTTTTACAGTGACATATTTCCAAGTAAATACATTTGCCTTAGAAATTCTAAGCTTTGTTAAAACTGAATATACTCACAAGTAATTGCAAAAAAGAAGAGATGTACAGATCACAGAATGAGTCTTTGTATGCAAGCATTTTATTTGACTTTAAAGTCTGGCTCAGTTTAGCATTGTCTTTGATAATGTGATGGCAAATGTTCCTATCATCTTTTTTTACATATGTGTTTATTCATACTGTATTGTGCTAAAGTCTTGCACCACTTCTAACTTTTATTTTATTGAACAAACATTTTAAATATGTGCAATCCTTGATAGAAAATTAACTTATTAGGGATTTGAGAAAATTCCACTGTTGGAGCTCAAAATACGTTTTTTTGCAAATACTTTGTCAGAATAAATTTTGCTGATCCAATTTTTCATTCCACTATTTTTAGAAATAATGGAAAAACTCAAACACATGCCTTTATAAACAACAACAAAAGTTTTAGTGTTTCGAAAGGACACTAGAAACAACTTCTGATGGCGTACGGGAGTTTATATGCATCTGGTTATGAAGGAAGAACAGAATAGCCAGCACCTGAAGAGAAAAACACTGAACTGAGTGAGGACACAGAATTTGGAGCTGAAATAAATGTCAGTTAACAAAGCTGCTAGTCGTTTGGAATAAAACAATTACACCATTGCTGCTTCCCTGCTTATGTTTGTTCCTTGGATGACAAAACTGAATAGATTTGCTGTGCTTTTGTTTTTGATTGCCTTCACAGCATCCAGTCTGTTTTTGTGTCCAGCTCAAGCTGCCAGCTGTGCTGCTGGAAGTTTATCGTGCTGGCATTTCACAAGCCCTCTACAGTGAGTCAATCCAAACTATGTGCAAGTAAACAACTTAGCAGTCAGGGCAGTCAGGTTCCTTCTCTTATGAGGTTAAACATTTATGGTTACAATGTTTATTTTGAGCTGTCCCAATGCAATAAAACCATATTTTCTAAACATTTAGCCTATAAATTGATAAAAACTTAAAATATGCATGAGCCTTTTGAACTTTAGACTATTGTTATTATTTTGTGTTTTAAAAAGTACATTAGACATTTCCTTCTTTAACATTATGTTTTAAGCACTCTGCTTCTTTACATCCTGTCCAGTAATGTCTGTTCCTGTTGTGGAATTTTTTTCCAGATATACTTTCAGATAATTTCCACAGCATGTTTGGGCTAAATGAGGAGCTACAAAGTACATTTAATGAAAGCCAAACTTTACCTCTTTTTATTGTTCATCTGCATTAAATATTTATACTCTGATGGGCACCGGTGCAGATCTGTCAAATAAAGTAGAGGAGCCATTTGAGATTGCTTTTCATTGTTTTTTTTGTTTTTTTTAACAATTTGCATCTTTGAGAATGACTGGTAAAACAATAATTCCTAAAGATGCACCAAGAAACCATCTAGTGTTTGAAAATGGATAATTGTTATATTGATTGCTCCTGATCACTGCCCTGTCAGTAAAAAACTAAAAGATCAAATCTTATACCCAACAGTAAATGCACCAGTCATAAACGCTACCCGGCTGATGTACAAAAAGAACAACAACAAAACCCATTTGGTACAGAAAGGAAACTCAAAGCCATTTTCAATATCAGTGAAATGTTTAAAAATAAAGTCAGAGGAAGAACAAAGATTTTATCCATTCAGACTGAGAGCAAAACTTTCAGCAGTTTACAGGAGGGCTGAGCAAAATGCAGAAAAGCTTCTCCAAATCTGACTGATTTGGAACATACTGTACTCAGAAGTATTGACAGCCTTTTGGAAATTCATAGTGAAGGTGAGAATCTAGTGAATACAGGGAATACACAATGAGACAGCCTTTTTGGCATCCGTTGTCAGGACTTTTGAAGGCAAAATATACAAAAAAGGGATGACTTCAGATTTTCACAGCAGTGTACTAAAAAGAAAAAAAAAGAAATACTCAAATATCCTTTAAAGGACAAAGTGACACATTCTTTAATGTCATTTAAACTACAGATTAGTTTGGCCAATTATTACATCTCCTTTACCTTAATCGATCTGTATGTGCACTAATTTTACACCAAGGCTAAACGGTAGGACTCGGATGACGTACAACTTGAAGCTGTAGAAACTACATTATCTTCAAAAAGATAAAAAATTGTTTTGCCATGATGGGTTTAAAAACATCGACTGATGAACATTAAAATAATTTTATCATACACAAACTGCACATCTGTAGTAACAATATGTGATCACATGTCCCTGAAAGCGTCTTAATAAATAACTGTCCGCAAGGCACTGAAATGTGCAGCTCATAGTTTCTATAAAATACAACTCAACTTTATAAAGAGTACTATCTGTGCCTGCCTCCCTTGAATACTTGTCAGCCTTTTAGATTTTATTTAAGAATTGATCCAACAATGCAACACTGAACATTTTGTTTCGTTATAATCTTCAAAAAAATATATCTACGCTAATAAATTCCTTCTTCACCTGTAAACTAATGCACATCTGCCTTGAATCTGTCCACTTCAGTCACGTTAAAAACTGTGCTACTGAAAAGCTGGCACATTGATGAGCATATTGTCAGTCAAGATGTCAGAGTGGTTCATCAGTGTCAAGCATCTCACATTCCAATGAAAGCCAACGTTTACATCCAGTGCAAATGTTCCTTTTTTAAGCACCTTTTCGGACCAAAATGAAACACAAAATACCCCAGTAGTAAACAACAAAATAACCATCTTCACTAAGCCATCTATTCAATAGATGAAATGTCATTTAGCTCAGCTATACGTTGTTCAACCCCCAGCAAAAGTCATCTTAAGGGTTCCGGTTCTGCACCACATTCAATCCTTTGGATCCGGGGAAGGCTGCAGGGATTGAAGCTCGTGCACTGGCAGCCTTAGGCGCACACAAAACAAAGCAAAACAACTGTGGGCACTTGTACGCGAGTCGTGTTTGAAGGATGACCGTGATAAAGCCTTGCGAAAGCAGTCATTCTGTGATCATCCAGCAAAAGCCAAGCTTAGTGGTTTGAATGCAAAGCTGTTTTTACTGCCCACAGGTTTAAGATTAAGATCTTTTGCAGCGGTTTTCCCCTCTCTCTTGTGTCACAGTATGTAAACCAAACAACTCATTCCAGCTCACTGTGGTTTGAGTGTCAAACTAGAGAAGGGTGGGTTTCCAGTCTGGATCGGAAGTAGGGGGCAGTGAAAGGGCCGACAGTCGTCTTAATATCCAGCGTGATTGGGGTCTTCCTCACACCTGCAGCTCTGAACCACCGGACAAGCCAAGAGCATTTGCCTCTTCTGTCGTCAAGCCGCTCTTCAGTGTCCTTCTTACTGTGTGGTCAGGAGAGAAAATTGCAAATAATAAAAACAAATGTAGCAAAAGTATTTCTTTTTTTTTTTTTTGATTGTATTTGCGCACATAGACAACACCCACATGATTTCCTGTTAAGTCGGGATCGTCTCCTTTCGCGAGGTAGCGTTCTCGGGCCGGGCCCCTGAGTGGCGGATCGAACGATCCTCTCCATGATCTCATCGGCTGTGTCGTCTGTGCAGTTCACGGGGTCATCACTGGTAGAACACCACGGAGCAATACGTCCTGAAACAAACGCAGGCGAATCAAATGAAAACTAACATGCTATGCTGTGTAATAAGGTAGACAATAGAAAACCGAATAACAAATAAAATTTTATGAATGACGTGGCTAAATCAGAATTTTTACATCACATATTCACAAAGACATTTGCAGATGCTCACAAGGGGAAAAGCTAAGTTTGCTTCTCCATGAAAAGGAAGATCTGCTCCTTAGATAACCTCTTCAAATAGTGTCTCTCTGAACTGAGGCAGTTTGCCCAGATTTGAATGAGGTATTTTGGTCCATTTGGAAAAAGACTTTCAAAAATGTGTGTGTTTTTCAGTATAGCCTTCTTAAAGTCTTGAGCTATTTACTTAGATGTGTATCAAAAATACTCCTTACCAAAGTAGCAGACGAAAAAGGGGAAAACATATCTTGGTGGGCTGATGGATTTACTCAAAAGCATCTCAGGGTTGTAAAAACATCTGTCATTCTGTCTATGTGTGAGATTTGACTGATATTTTGGTCAATAATTTCTCTTACTGAATGTTTATGGCCGGGGAGGGAATAATTGTGATGGATCCCACCTGCTTAATGCTTTGTGTATCCAGTGCAGAAACAAAGCAAATTGCAGGAAGAAAGCAAAAGATTTTAATTGCGCTGTGTATTAATTTAATTTTTTTTTTATGATAACAAACCTAGATCTTGTGGGAGTGACATGCATGTTAAATTTTTTTTACTGTTCAGCACAATGTTATATTTTTACTTATGCACATTTAGCTTTTTTTCTTTTAACATTTAGGGATTTGAACACAAACCACAGACTGAACACCTTAGAAAATAAACGCAGGGTTACAAAAACAATAAGTAGATTAATCATGATGTCAACATTACACAATTTTGAACATTTAGCTTCAGGTTTCTTCTTTTCTCAGCAACTTATGTGACCAGAGGACGAACAAAAAGGAAAATGTTTGTACTACTTGGACAATAAAGAGTTGATGATGTTCAGGAGAAAGTTCAGAAAATCATTCATCATAACTCAGAACTGATGAGATTGCACGATGAGGTAAAACTTACAACTCTTGTCCCTGTGCCATTGATGGTTTCATAAAAACACACATTCATGAGTAATAAAGTAACAGCAAAAACGCTGCTTTCTGACCGACCTCTGAGGCTGCCTCCTCTGGTACGATTCCTTAGTCCGGGCACTGTGGATGTGCTGCTCTCTGCATCCGTCAGAGCAGTTTTTAACATGGCCTTCATGTTTTCATGTTCCGCTGCATCGTCAGCACTGTGTATACCCTGAGTCTGACTCTCCTGTGCGTCTGAAGAGGCACCTCCAAATTTACCGCTCTGTAAGGGTTTAAGGAAAGAGGTGAAAATGTTAAACATACCTCTTTTCATAGCCTTCCCCAGACTGAAGTTAGTTATTTCAGAGGCACACAACAAACTTTTCAATGTTTTACTTTCATAACTGTTTCTTTCAGCATGCGTTTGGATTCTGTACTTTTCTACCATTAAGTAAAAGTAACGGCTTAAGGTTAGATTCGCTCGATATCCTAGCGGCGTCACGTTTCCTATTCATGCCTTGTCAGAGTTAGTCCCTCTTAGACTTATAGACAACTCATGACTTGTGTAGATCCTTCGAGTAAAACTGTTATTTAGAAATATAGCTGTGCATCTTGTGCATGTTAGTCGAAACAGAAATTATGCAGATACGTACATACATACATACACACATACTTTATGTACATTCCTACCTCACTGTCATCGTCATCCTCACTCTAATGAAAATAAAAAGCAAAATAAGCACTCACAATACTAATTACATCATACTGTCAACATAAAATCAAAACGATCAAAATATTCTGGCAAAAAATTGATTTGCTTTTACGTTAAACGCTTAATAACAGATTTGGTATGAGGAATGTGTCTGCAGTTAATGTGACGTAAAACCCAACATTTAATGGTGCAACTACTGTTTAGTGTCAACAAGGTAATCTAGTACATTATATAGTGTAGTATATTGTAAAAGTAGATCATAAAGGGGCAGTATTGTGCATTTTATAGCGTATTGTACACTGTGAAATGGCATATACTGCCATTTTTAAGCACAATAAAGCAATTGTGTTGCATTCATTTTTTTATAAAAACGTGTATATGTAAAAAAATGACTTAAAACAAATGATACTTCATAATTTGATGGCTATAAATTGGGCCTCTGTGTCTTTAAGAAGTGCCTGTTCAGCCTCCAGCACATCTGGACAGAGATGCCCCTCCGTTATGCCGTTTACAACAGTTCTAAGGAGCATTGCACTGACAAGTACTTTAAGTATGCTGAGCTCAGAAGATTTACAGTTTCACCAGATGTTTGCTTTTGCATTCATATATGGTTCTTCTAATAAAGAACCAGAGGGCCTTTTGTTCTCTCTTAAGTATTTTAATCATTAGAAAACGACAAAACAAAGATAATTTTATCTAAATTTGAATTGGCAGGTATGGCCCAAAAGAAAACTAGAATCCATTTAAGAGAGCAAAAGCTAGATTCTAAAATATACAATTAATGTGTTGTGGGGATGTATACAGAAAAGCAAAAATGTACAACATTTGCCCAGATGATCTTGGTCAGAATTTTAACTGTTCAGATTTTGCCAATTTTCACATTTAAAACTTCTGCACTCCAGTCGATTAGAGCTTTAATATTTTTCATTGCAAACAAAGTTTGTTTGCATCATTTGTGTAACAGAAGAGCACATCTGATGGAAGATCTTTAGGAATGTGACTGAGGTGTGGCCTCTAGTTATTTCTCCTTGAGGGAGTGACACAGGTTTGAATTTTCACACCGTGATTTTCAAAGAAAAGGGTCCCTTCTCTACAGCCTCCTTCATTAACAGCCGACTCTCCGGGGTCGCCGAGATTTAAATCGCACAGCGAGGTGTTTGCGCTGGCCCGTTGTCAGCCTGAAGCAGCTATGGAATGAGATCCATTCCACACGACTCCCTGATTGTTGTTACAGTAACTCATACATGTGAGCACGGAGAAAGCTGCGATGACGTCTTTGGAAATACAAACCAACCCTTCGGCCAGAAAATAAGCCAGACTTCACAAGATCGCAGATTAAACCACTGAAAATGGCTTGTTAACACCGTTTCATGGAACTGAGGAAGCACATACAAAACTAGAAGGGTGATAGAGCGATGAACAACCCTTACATCTGTTATCATTTTCCCCCTGGTCTTGTTTCTTTCTCTGTGGTTGGCCCTCTTCTGTTTCTGTTGCAGCACGCGCTCTCTCGTTGTGCGGTATTCCAGGGCGAACTCACTCAGGATCTTGCTGAAGCGATGTATGCTAACCTCTCGCACAGCATAGATAGGATGCCCCAGGAACAACAGAAATGCATGGAACCTGCAGATTTGCATGGATGACAGGTTGTTAAGTGTGTGGTGTTCCAACACAAACTTTGATGCATTTTGTTGGTATTTTAGGTGAAAGACCAACACAAAATATCTCATAAATGTGAAGTAGATGGAAAATGAGAGCACTAATATCAATTATTGTAATTGAACACCTTTTCACTGACAGTTGAAAACCTGTTCACATTTTCACACGTCAGAAAGTTTGAAAAATATGTATATTATCAATTTTAGTTGGTCTTTCACTTAAAATTGGAATAAAATACTCTTCAGTATTCAGGCATACCTGTTGATTATTCTGCGGTGCACTATTTTTAGAATTATAATTCTTTCTGCACAATCTTTAAGGAAGTCTGACATTTTTTGCTTCAATGCTGGTTTCATCTCATGTTTAGCGATGACTTTTAGGTGATCCCATGATGCTTTGCACCTGCGCTCCATCTGGGCCAAATTGTCTTGAAGCTGGTCAAAATCAACCTGAGAAACAAAAAAATAAAACTGTTGAGGAGTCGTTTTAGTGGATATGACAAATATTAGAGAACATAATGAGTTTTTAAACCTTGGTCAAGCGGGTGATGGCTCCTATTTCAGAGTAGAGGTCAGTGCTGTCTGGAAACTTTTCCACCACAATGGCGCAGGCGTGGTGTAACAGGGACTGCTTATGAACCGTGTCCTTCACCTCCGGGACTTTTTCTAAATAACTCAGCTCAAAGCCTTTGGCCTACAGACCCATAAAGACACAAATAGCACTGAGAATGTGGATGGAATTAGTTCGGTGAAATCGAGCACCAGATGGAAGTGAATTTCCCATCCGGCACAGCTAGAAAAATGGGGCCGAATGGAGATATGTAGATTAATTAGATTGTTAGTATCAAAAACCGCGATCTGCTTAAGGCCTGAGTGTTTGTTCTCTCCACACAACAAAGCAAAAAAGGGTCCAGAATGCATCATGAAAGACATAACACCAACAGGACTTCCCTTGTTCTGCTGCCAGCTATAAATGGCTTACTGCAAAAATATAAATGCAGCCATTATTTACGGGAAACTTCTCGTTTTGATGTTGATGACTTATGTTTCCCCTTTTGGATGTTTGCCTTTAGTGATCCCAGAGGCTCATACATGCAAAGTACTCCCACAGAGGCGCAGATGGGGTCACAGGAACAAAGAAAAATCTCACTTTGTGACAAAGTGAGAGGAAAAAAAGACAGAGTTCACACACAGGCAATCCAGATGAACATGAACTTCCACAAAAATAAATTAATGAATTACACAACTCTCCCTCCCCTTCTTCCTTCTCAGCAGATGGAGCCAGACTCAACAGAAGCTGCTGCAGTCAGGCAGAGAACTCATTCACACACACACACGCGCACACACACACACACACACACACACACACACACACACCACACACACACACACACACACACACACACACACACACACACACACACACACACTCTAGTGTTTTTAATCCCTAAATAATGGGTTTGACTGAAAGTATATGGTAGGAATGTTAATTGAAATTGAGTATATGGAAGGACAGCTAGAGTAAAACTAGTATTATCAGAAGCATTCCTTGGATTGTTTTTCTTACGTTTGAGCCATTGAGGAAGTTACCAATGGCCAGCAAGGTGGTGAGGATGTATCTGAGGGTCTTGTTTTTCTCAAGTTGGTCCATTCCTTCTTTTAGGTCCTGCAATGGCTCTGCCACTTCCTGAAAGTGCAGGAAAAAGAAATTCATAAGAGTATGAGAAGAGCTTACAACACTAACATACAGAAAAAAATAAAGGAAGAAAGAAAGAAAGAAAGAAAGAAAGAAAGAAAGAAAGAAAGAAAGAAAGAAAGAAAGAAAGAAAGAAAGAAAGAAAGAAAAAAAGAAAGAAAGAAAGAAAAAAAAAAAAGAAAAAAAGAAACAAAGAAAAAGAGAAAGAAAGATGAAAAGATAGAAAGAAGGAAAGGAACAAGGGAAGAAACAAAGAAAGAAAGAACGCATATCAACCTGGTTGTGACAGAAAAAATGTTGTGTTTTAGAGAGAAAACCCTAAACTTGTTCAGCTGAATGCCTGTTTCATCTGCCCCGGATTAGGGGGAGCAGGAATGTGTCCGACCTTCTCAATAAGCTCGTAGTCCATCTTGAAGGCCCACAGCTGCAGGCGCGCTGACAGCTCCGTGATGGAGGAGAGGGTGAGCAGGAACTGCTCGGCGCTGCCCAGAGGAACGTCAGGGTTCATCAGCTGAGCCTCCTGGATCCTCTGCTTCTCCTCCTCTGTGGGGATCATTGTCAGGATTTTCTAGTAGAGAAGAGAAATTCAAACTTATGCAGAATTTGTCTCTGTCTGTCTGGAAGAAATCTTTGCACGATATGTCAGAGAAGTTGGTGGGAAACATTGATTCTGATATTTCTTAAAGCCGTTTCCTGCTTTCCCACTGAACTTTTGCCCCTGCTTTTGTTTTCTTACTGCAAATACCTCCAGAGAAAAAAAAAGATGGAGAGGAATCTTCCTGTCTCCTACAAATGAACTCAGGTTATATAATACCAAAAGTATGAGGTCTCTGTTACCTGTAACAGTAATCTGCAGCAGATACCCTACATTTTGTTGAGATTACCTAAAAATAACCTTTTTATAATAATATTTTAAATGTATTCAAAAGACAACAATGTGAACTATTACAACAGAAAGTTTGACAGTTATTCTTAACCCTTTTATACATCGTGGTCACTATAGTGGTCAGCTCTCTAAAAGCCATTTTCTTGTGTATTTTTATATCATAAATGCATACAGACCCCTGAAGTGGACACTATCAACTACTGGCCATCAGCTGCAAATGCAAGAAATTATTTTTGTTAAATCTAATATGGCCGACAAAAAAGCATGCCAACCGACAATCTACCTTATTTTTACTGTAGACGACTCACAGGTAAAAAAAAATATTGTGACATCAGATAATCCTTAAAGAACAATGCTTTAGGGATATAAAATTATTTTTCAAATAACTTTATATTTGGAGAAAATTACAATTGATCACCTAAAAAAACAAAAAAACAAAAAAAATTTTCCCCAATTTTTTCTCCTACCTTTTTTTATGCCTTAAGAAAATTAAAAATGGAAAAAAAGATTCTGACACAAAGTATCATAATTCATGCATGAAAGGGTTAATGATACCCATTTACAGTTTACTGTAAACCCGCTGACACTACATTCAGAATACATGTAAGTTTTGATGCAACTAATTAAAGCTTACCTCAATGCCTTCCTTGTTTAGTGCATACTCATCAAAGTTGAGAATAGCTGTCTTGATTGTGCGTGGAGGGGGCAAGACAGTTAACCCGATATTTATGGCGTTGCTGCGCTTCGAGTCCAGGACAATAATTTCTTGTCGTTTGCCTTCAACCGATGCTTTCTGGGAGATGCAAAGAGAAGAAGAAGAAAACATTGTGAGTCAATTTTTATGAATTAAGTCTTGATTATCTGTCATAGCTTCTTTAACAATTTCTACTGTCAGTTTTGGAGTAATTTGTTTTAGCTTTAGCGATCAATTATTTAGCAACTCTCCATTACAATGTTCAAATACAGGGTTTAATCTGGTTTATTTTTATGCAAAACATTATTTTAAGCAATATTGCTATTTTAATTCCCAAAGAGGAAACCCACCAGGTTTTAATCCAACGTAGCATTACTGTGGCAATTTAAATTACATTACGGTTATGAGTAATTTAAATTATTTGAAAAGCATACCTTTGTTACTGACAACTCCTTGGATTTGGTCTCAAACAGCTGCTCCAGTTTAGACGTGTCCAGTTTAACCGGCTCCAGTTTGGACCACAGGGACTCCTTACAGAACTTGTGATTTTTGCGAGGCCAGTCTACAGGACGCACCTCGTTCCAGAAGAGACGGATGGTCTTCTTCTTCTTCTGGAAGAGAGGGACGTCCCCTCGACCCAGCTGAGGAGAGGGTGGTGGTATGGGAGCCATAAACGGAGGGGGTGGAGGCATCATCCTGCCCGGAATAGGAGGAGGCGGGGGACAACCAAACAAAGGCGGAGGTGGTGGGAGGGCAGAACTGCACGGCGGAGAAGGTGAGTTGACCACGCCCTCCAAATCTAAAATGTCCATGTCGTCCTCCTCTCTAAGATCTGTGAAGTCCATTTCTTTGATGCGCAGCTCCCTGGGGGACGCCATCAGCTGATCCCAGATGTGATCCGACTCTTTTTTCGGGGCTGAACCAGATGATTTGTCCGTCTGCTGTTGCTCTTTAGGAGCCTCCATCTCCAGTGCACATGTCAGACCCTTGACTAAATCCCCAAATTTCTCCGCCACCGCCCTGACATTGCTGTGGTTGTCCAGATTGCCCATCTCTAATTTCTTTACACAGTCCTCTCTTTCCTGTCTATTCGCCTCCAGTGTGGAGATCCGGCTGGCCAAACTGGCCACAGGGTCACTCCCGTCTGTTTCCTTTTTACATTTACATCGTTCCGTCTCTGACTCTCCGACATCCCTGTCATCCTCTGCGACGGCCTTCTGGGCATAAAGCATGTCCAGCATGAAGCGCTTGTTGTTGAGAATCTTCTTGCATTGGTCATTCACATCTGTGTCCTTTAAACAATGAGTCCATTGGCCTGTTGGTTAGAAAACAATTATACTTTTGTTAATTGGAGCAACATAAAAAATATCCATACCCCATAATCTTTTTTTGTAGTTTGTCAAATCAATATTACAAATGTATGTGTTTTACAGAGATTGTATGTGATAGACCAAAAAACTAAGTACTGTTAAAGTGGAATAAAAAGGATAGAAGGTTTAAAAGTTTTTGTTTTCTTTTACCTGAGTCAGTGTCTTTAGTTATCTTCTGCTCTCGCTCCTCCCTCTCCAGAGTGCTGCTTGTAGAAGAGATGCTGGATGCAGAGCAGTTGTCTTTTTCATTTACTTCCTCGTTCTGTCTCTCCTTCTCACTCAGCATCACACTGTCCTCCACCTCTCCATCTGCAGGTTGTAATTTCTCCTCTAACTCCACCTCCGCCTTAACATCCTGTTCTCCAACCTCTGGTCCATCTGTAACCTCTGCTTCCTCAGCTCCAACTTCATCAACAATCCGCTCCCGTTCTGTAAGAATCTCCTGCTCGTGTTTCTCTTCCTTCTCTTTTCCCGACTGCTCTTTCTCATCCAGCTGTGCTGCTCCTTTCTTGCCACTCTGTATCGTAGTAAAAATTCCTGCAACCGCACGTGTCTTTGTCTCGGTTTCATTTGCTGTTTGGGGCGATTCTGATGCTGGTAGTTCTGGCGCTGGACTCTTGATTCTAATCTGTGGGATGAGGTTTGCACTTGATATGTTTTCTGTTCCTGGAAAGAAATCAGAATGTAGAATTAACTCAAGCATTAACCTTTTTATTCATAATTTGTGACAATATGGACAAATGGTCATTTTGAGCCAGAAAATGCTGAATGAAACTGTTTTCAGATCTTTTGTTCAAACTTTCTTTGGAATGACACATGATATCCTTCTGTTTTTATTTCCAAAAGCTGGTACAATGCCTGTCAGAACATAACCTTTGCTCATCATTCATATGACCTTTTTATTGATGCATTTGAAGCCATTTGTTTTTTCAAGGTAGCATGACTATGCAACATACAGAGAATCAGAGAAACAATACCAATGGGCCCAAAACTGAACTTATTATTAGTTTTCTCAAACCCTAAACGATTCCATATTTTAAATAGAGACTCTAATGTAAGTCTAAACTTCTAATAGCACCTAAATAGGTTGTAGGGAATATGTACACTTTTTATAGACAGGAACAAGTTTCTGGCATCATTCTATCAGGATGTTTGACCACTCCTTTTGGCACATTTGGTATAGTTTGTTTAAATTGGTTAGTTTCCAACCACAAGCCTGGAGTCTTAGCATAAGATTGATATCAAATAACTTATAGAAGAAGTTTAACACTAAGTTGCTTTATACATTTTGCAAGCAATTTATGTGTTTGGTATTTAAATTCTCCTGTTTGAACCTTCACACTGATAGAAATTTCAACCATGTCACCCAAACTGTCAAACAAGGAAATTCTAAAAAAACCCTTGATCCTCCGAGGCTAGAGTCTGTCATAAACTGGTACCTGCAGAAACACTGTTTAGAGTGATGCAAGTTTAGCATGATTGTAATCATGTATAGCCAATGAGGAAGTCCCTGGTTCTGAGTTAACTGAAAATTACAACTGTTCACATGAACACGGCAAACGCTTTCCAGAAAACAGCTTAATGGGGAGGTTGGATGAAGACGCAGTGATTTGACAACAATGTCAAGAAGTTATGCTGGAAGGAATCCATGTAAGAAAGCAAGATTTGGTCATTCCCCATCAACTCTTGAGTATCAACAGTAAAAAACAAACAAAAAAAAAACACGTTTTACCCAACATCTGCTCTGCAACCGTGACTGTCTTTTCCTGTGAGATAGAGGGTGATACTGTGGAGCAGCGGGACACTGAGCGGTTGGTCGGAGTTGGACTCAAACACAGCGTGATTTCTGTTCGTCCTCTTGTCGGCACTCGAGGGCGCTCCCGATCAAACTCCTCTGCAGCCAGCCTCTCTACTGTTTTGTACCTTCAAAACAAAATGAAGACTTCATCCGTCTCTGCGTACAACAATCTGATTTCAATTGTTTAATTCAGTGTGTGCAGGTCTATTAGAGCGTGCCCTTGCAAATCAACCTTTTCACATTCCATTGGTCACATGTAATTTATTTGGACGTTTTGTGAGTTCTCAAAACAAAGTAATGCAAAACTGTGAAGTTGAAGGAATGTACAACATAGTTTTCAAGATATTTTCATAAACCAAGATCTAAGGAGTGTGTGGTCAATATTTGTCTTCAGTTCTCGTCACTGCAATCCATCAAAATTAAACTGTGCTCAGAAGTCACCTAATTAGTAAATAGAGTCATCCCATTTGTAATTTAATCTCAGCATGAAGAAAACAATTCTATGAAGGAGCCAGAGGACTATTAGTGAGCAGTAGTGAACAAATAACACCAGGAAGACCAAGAAACAAAGCAGACCGTTTAGGGAGAAATCTGTCCAGAGGTTTAAAGTTGGATTAGGTTACAAAACAATATCCCAAGATTTGAACTTGTCAAAGACAACTTTTCAATTCATCAGCTGAAAAAAATATGGCACAAATGGAACTGCGCCAAGATAGAGTCTTAATCAGTGAATCAGCCCAGATACTTGTGGTAATTCTGCAGGAGTTCTATGGACCCATAGCTGAGGATCCATGGAATGGATATATACTATCTATTGCTATTATTTGGACCCTCTGCAAAGAATATTTAAGAAGACCACACTTGTAGTCATAGGTAAGAGGCAGCACATGCTGGTTGTTGTTTCATTGTGGTCTGTTTTAAGTTGATTTTAGGATTTGTGTTGTGTATCATACTTTATCTTGTCATGATTTGTTATTGTCCTTTAAACTATCTATATGTTGTCAAAGAACCATTTGGGAATGTACACGGAAAATTATCAAAAGCTACAAATATTAAAGTGTTCAGTATTGTTCATGCTTAACACTTGTCCATATGCAAATACACAAGAATTAAATATTAGAGCTATTTTTGAAAGGACAATATAAAAGAAACCTTCTTCACAGTTTGCCACAAGCCAAGTGGAGCTTACATTAAAGATTTGAAAGAAGATCCTGGACAGATGAAACTAAAAGTGAACATTCTGGCCTATGCAGAAAACAATATGCATAATCCTGAACCCTGCAACGGAAGATGTTGGTGGTAGTATCATGCTGTGCTTTCCTTTAGCACAGCATTAATGTAGTCATTAATGGTATTTTGCTATTTTGAGAACAACATTAGGAATAATTACTTTATATTGAAAAACACAAACCAAAAGACATAAAATCAAAATGAAATACATTGAGAAAATTTGAAAAATGTTTTAAGTGGTATTAGTACTTTTGCTTGTTGCAGTGCAAAAATTGCAAACCAGTTTTAACTGCATAATTACATTTGGTGTTGTTTAGTCCAGTTATTTATTTCAGAGTAAAATGTTTCCCAGGAAACTATTGAATTAAAAACACCCAGCCACTGAAAAAATTACATTTTTGGAAGTATGACAGCCTTATATAACATTGATTGTATCTGCAAACATTAGCCATTTACGCTATCTCATTCCAGGAAAATTATGGAAAAATGGGGCCATAATCCCATTAATCAAGACCTGGATGATGACAAATGACATCCACCTTTTTTTTAAACTGCCGTGAGGAATTTTTGGCAACTTCTTGCTAATGCCGAGTTTTTTTCTAGGCTTTCTTTCAAATATTTGACCTGCATCTCGAAGTTGAGAACAGGATAGAAACACAGGAAAACATTTGAAATAGAAACAAAATGAACTCACCTTTCCTCTCTGACTTGTCTCGCTTCTTCCCTCTTTTCCACATGATCACGACTGAGAGAAAAAAAAGCAACTGAGCTTCACAGAAGGCAATTTAGTACTTGAATGATGTATATAATACTCAGCAAGAATTCTGAAATCTTAGATTGCTATGATGTTAAAGATCTGGAATATGGCCTGCAAACGGCTAGGACGTGACATGTACAGATAACATATGTTGTACATAGGATTCCTGTCGTGCAATTATCCTCATAAATAAAACTCAGCTCTTCTCAGCCTCAGGAGAGATTTATGATCACTTCAGCTAAGCTAAGACAAGAGCCACCTGCAATATTCAGCTGCCAGTTGTGAAGAAACAGTGCACACTCTTCAACATGGGACTTTTATCTAAAGGCCGGGCGAGACTAACTTGAATCGATTTCTCTCTTCTCTTTCAATCCTCTGCAGACGCTCCTCTCTTTCCAGACGTCTCTTCTCTCTCTCTGAAGCCAGAGATTCTTGATGTTGCCTGTATGAAGATGTCAGCAAGCTCCCGATTGCAGTCCTGCTTGTAAAAACGTACAGAAAAGGAAAACATGTGAAGGCATTAATAAACAAGAAGCAATGAGTGTTCCCTTTATCAAGTGCCATCTAATTTCACTAAAGATACAAAGTGTGTTGATGTGTTCACCTGTCAGACTTGGAGTCAGGTGCAGAGGGTGTTGAGTTACTGAGGCGATGGATGGGTGATGTTGGAGTTGGATGTCTACCGTTACAAATTTTTCTGGAGAGAAATAAGAAACAACTCAATGTTGTTTGTCTTTCCTATCTTTTGCCAAAAAAATAAAATAAAATAATAATAATAATAATAACATCAGTGACATGACACAAAACCAACATTTCTGCACAGTTTAGAAATAATATTCAGTAATTTATTTCAAAAGGTGAAGCTCGTGTTTTACATTAGAGACTCACAGAGTGACAAGTTGTGTCTTCTGTTAGTTTTGAGGATTATGGCTTACTAACTCAGTTTTCAGAAATTTCAAACGCTGCCTGAACCCTGCAATGGTTCAACTGTTTGGCTGAGATTTTTAAGGCATGAACTGTGACTGGAGTTCTTGAAGAGACACTCCACCGAGACTTATCCTGGATATGAGCTTTAGCTTTGGCTTCCCCTGCATGTAGCATCCGGAGTGGGCTGAGGAGGAAATAGCTGGACAGTTTTTCAGTCATCCAAAGTTATCTTTTCACATGAAAGTCAATTTTTCATTTCATGAAAATCGAATTAAGACCCCCTGACATGGAGAAAGGAGCAGAAAGGCACAAAACCCAAGTTGCTTGAGGTTCAAATCAAAATTTTCTCAGTGAGTGAGGATTTGAGGAACCGTATCATTTGTTGTTGTTGGTCTACTGAGTTTTGTCAAGTCCACAGTCCATGCAGTTGTCAACCAGGACATTTTAATGCTTAATGCATTAAAATGCATTAAGCTTTTTCTAATGCTTTTTCTATGCTGACAAGCTTTATGGAGATACTGATTTAATTGCCAATGAGGACTGGGGCACCTGCCATCACTGTCAAAAAATACCAATGTCCACTATAATAGCCATGGTATCAGTGTGCTCGGTATTACCAAGAGGGAAAAAAAGAAACAATGCAGACAAACTGAAAAAAAAGTGAAAGCATTTTGGCCTTTTTCACACCTTAACATAGTCACAGGCTAATAGAAGATCAAAATAATGCAGTGATTCATCCAGAAGGAGTTTTGACAAAGTAAAAGGTAGCTTTACAGAACATGGACAAACTTTACAGGAGGTCAATATCTTTCTAATAAAAGACAAAAATTAATTGCTTTTATGTATTCAAATTTCTGAAAATTGAACTGGGTTTTCCTAAGTCATGGTGATCAAGGTTACTCTTGACTCTTGCTTTATGAATCTAATGAATGAAATAAATTAAGCGTTGAATGATATTATAATTTACTGAGTAGTTGTCTAGCCACATTTTTTAATGTCCCAGGTTTCAAACTTCAGAAATTAGCGTCAGCATTTCCATATATTCCTGTTACACCTGACCTGCTGACTCCTGATCTTACCTCTCAGCCCAGCAGGGCTTTCTGGCTGAGTAAGTTGTAGAAGGTGGAGTATCTGTCAGACTGAAGATGGAAGCAAGAGAAAAGATGAAGTAAGACAGAAAGAAAAAGACCAACAGTTAGCCATCCAGTCGAGTTAGTTAGAGAGCAGATGGATTATATAGAGTTTAATGGCCACAAGAAAACAAAGCAGACAGGAAGAACACATCTTTGTCTGTAGATTGAATCAATGAGCTTCTTAGAAAGCAAAAAAAGTACAGCATACTGTGTATAATTTCAGTACTATAAAGTTACCATCTATCACTCTCAATTTAAGTGTATTGTTTATAATATGTTTTATAGGGAATAATATCAGCTGCAGTTAACCTGGGATATGGTAAGAAAGTACAAAATCTACTATGACTGGTATTACACCAATGCGTTGATCAGTGGTCAAATTCAACAAAATTTCCCTGGATTGGCTTTAACTGATACTAACGCATCAACTTAAAAGACCTGCTTTTAAGTTGACTGTGGCAATAAATCAATAATACTAATATGCCACAGGAAAGAAAATATCTAGAAGGCTGTTGTTCTATTGGATGCAAGTGAACCTAAATGGGTTCAACATTTTTTCTGGCAAGTATCATGAACTGGGGAACTAACACAATATATATTCAGTGTAACTGATCTGCCATTTAAAGTGCTAAACTGTATAATAATGAGGGCAGATTTTAAATAATAGTGTCATTAGATGTGCTTTTATGCTTTCTGAAGTTTCACTGGGAGAAATACAGGCTTAAGTGGTGATGTGCTTCACAATGAGTAATGAACCAGTTGTAATGCAAGTCCCTCATCAAATCTAAAAGACACCTGAGTCTGGTTTAACTCAGCCAATGAAGGGACATGAAAAGGGTTCCAGTCTGACTACTACTGAGCATGTGCAAAGCCTGTCCAACTAGCACCAGACAAGGAAACGGTGGCAGAAAGGAACACACCAAGGACTAAAGGTCCTCTTTTTAGGTGCAACGGACACAGGAGAGGGTGTCCTGGTCTTGATGCTGAGAAAGTCTCTCTGCCCTGCAGGATCACTGGCCTTAAGGAGGAGGTTGGTCATACACTTTAAGTTCAAACACATGTTAGGAGTGTCTGCTACATCTGGAGCCACACTAGGAGGACAAAATACAAGAAAGCAGGAGTCCAAATAGAAGGAGTGAGGTAATCAGACAGGGAAGATGCTAAAAGAAGAAAAAAAGAGGCAATTGCATCCTGCTTGGCTGGCCTCAAATACCTGTGAGAGCCCTGTCTAGAGGGTTCAGTGTCTGGTTGGCTTTCATCATCTGCCTCGGCCTCCTCATCCTCATCCTCCTCTTCTTCCTCTTCCTCTTCTCTGTGGTTAGAGGAGGGGCCGAGGGATGAATGGATGAAAGGGAGGATGTCCGTGGGCAGGAGGCGGGGAGTGGAAATTTGGAAGGAGACAATGCAAAACCGCAGATGGTTTGCCCAGGGGAGACAACGCACAGAAATGAGACACACAAAACATGCTTGTCAGACAAAAAGCGCCATAGGCATTAGTACAGAAAAGCAACAAGCAATGGAAGATGTTAACAGATTGAGAAAATTAGTGGGATGACATCATAAAAACAAGCAATGGATTTTTACATGCAACAACTAAGGGTACATGTGAATACAAATTATGTAACATCAATTAGCCCTCAAAAGTATAGACACTAAAAGTTAAAATGCAAGGATTTTGTGACGCAAACAATGAATCTGAGATAAGACCTGCTTCAAATGTTTTTTTCATGATAGACAGTTAGGTAAAATGTATTTAAAAAGTCATGTTGTGTTATGTACAAGGCAATATTACACAATGCTGAGGAAATAAATATAAACTTTTAAATTTAAACACATTTTTTAAATAAAACAAAGTGAAAAAATGAATAAATAAGTAAATAAAAAATGTTGATAATCATACTTAACCTAAAACGGGAAGCAATTAGTCTGAATTACAGCCAACCCAAAACAAAAAAGTAAATATAGCCAATTAACTGATATGCCCCCCAAAAATGCCTGAAATTGAATCAAAGGTAATACTCTAGTTTAAGTGTGTTAACACTAATCCAACAATGGTACATTTATTCCATTTACTGTTTTGTTCTAGTTTAATTTATATGACAAACAGCATGTTATAGGTGAAAAAGAATTGTAAAGGACAAATCTATTTATCTCGTAAAAAACTGCCTTTCAGGGGTTTGTATACATTTGCGACCCACTTTTATAAAAATATAAAACTGTTGGACTAAAGAGATGCATTTTGACAAAATCAAATGATTAGGTTTGATTAAATAACCAGAAATAGAGCAGCAGACAATATCTTGTCTGGTTTATTTGACAGTGTGGGATGATCACGCATAACTCTTCCTCCAGTTTGCTGTTTGGATCCCTCCAGGTTGTCTGGATTTCATTAACAATATGGAAAATTGTGCTCTTCAAAGGGAGCCTGAATTTCCTGTGGTAGGGTGGAAGAGGATAGGCTGGTATCAAATGGCCTGCTGGATTGAATTTAGCAAACCTGAAGACCTGAGTGCAGTCGAGAACACGGGTAGGTATTCTGCTTTGAATTGCTTTAACATTGTACCTTAATGAGACAGACCATCAAAATCAAAGTGGTTTCTTTTTACTGCACAGTCCAATAAAAAAAAGTTGAATCAGTTTTGAATTCTGAGTGCTTTTAGTAATAAAGATTTGCTTGATATGAAAACACATGGAACTGTGTAGGTAAGGTCAGGGCAGTCTCTCTAAAGTAAATATGACATAAAGCAGAGCACAGATAGCTTATATTGTGAGTTTATACATGGTACCTGCTGCAAAAGAGAGGCTCTGACATAAAGAAAATTAATATAATCTTACTTTGTAGCAGAAGGCTCCTATTTCATTCTTTAAATTATAATCTCTGGATGGAGAAAATGCATCTGCTCAACACCGGCCCTATAAATCTTCAAAGTGTACCAAGAAAAATGTCCTTTTCTGGAACATTGTTCACCTTTTCCCTTCTTTTGCTCCTTTTGCCTCACCTTTCGCTGATGTCTTCAACTCGTTGGCCGCCAAAGGGAAGGAAACTACTGGAAAGGGAGTAAGAGTTGCTTGGAGATGCCGAGCTGGAAGGATGGTCTTTGTTGTTCTGCAGCGAATGTCTCCGGCTCCGTCTTCTCTCCAAGCCCCGTCTCTCATTGGTACCACCGACGCTAGCTCTGCGGCGGTCCTTTCTGCCACATGGAGGCAGCTGGGCTTCGTCGTCCCCATCCTCATGACGAAGAATCGTCTGCATCAAAAAGGCATTAAAGTTTAGCAAAGTGAAGAAACACTGGTGATGAATCGACACCACTACGTCGAGGTGTAGTATTTGTCTTCAGCGAGTGACTTCTTACCTCATAGATGTTGAACTGTTCAACAAGATCAAGGTCAGTGCCCTTTCTGCCTAGATGTCTCTGGGCCGTCACTTCAATACCTTGTTCCTCAAGACAGTCCACCATGTCGTAGTAGGAGTCCTGATCCGGAAGGGCTGCCAGAGTCTGAGAAAAAAACAGTCGGTTTGAAACAAACCACTAAATGAAAGAAACATGTTAGGGATATTTGCTACTTTGTCAGACTTGTTTCTATTAATATATTAAGTCACATTTATTGGGAACTGAAGTTGAAATTGGAATAGTTGTATCTTCAAGAGTCATTTGACAGACGAGAAAAGAGCAACAGTACTTAAATTGTTTGAAGTAGTCTACATTAACAGTTGAGGTAAACAAAGGTTTTAAAAAGTTAATATCTGTTATCATAGAGAAATGAATGACAGTCACTCCTACAGGTTAAAGTCCTGAACGGTAATCTGTCCAGGGTGACCCGCTGGAGATATGCACCAGCATCCCTCCCGACCAAAATGTGATACGGGTGTAAGAAAATGAATAGATGGAGTTTAAAGCCCTACAAATGAGCTGCCAGAAAATTTTGCTGTTGGAGCCCAATCCTGCTTTTTCTCCGCCTGTTAATGCAGACAACCGAACAGCTGACTGAAAGAAGGCCAGATCTCTTGTTGCTCAAATACAAGAAAACGCAATCCAGAGATATTTCTAGAGAGAAACAACAAACAGACGGTCATGGTCGTCGAAACTAAAGGAGAATCCCTTATTATTCTTGTCATCTGATATAATCTGACAGAGGTTGTGCACAGACAAGTCTTATCTCATTATAGACTGAATGCTTTTTTGCAGGAAACACAAACTCTGTCCTCATTTTGATAATTCCTGTAAATGTTAACATTTGATCAAAATCTGTCACTAGGAGGAGGTGGTGAAACACATAAGGAAAACTAATGTTTTTGTAATAACAATGAAGGCTGTATTTGCGTACCTTATTAATGAGCGTCATGGCAAACACCAGCAGCTCGGTATCCACTCCATCTTTCTCCTCCAGGATTTCCATGACATTTGACCAAAGTTTTTTACCTATGCCACCAAAACATGCAAGGGATAATATATAAGACCCAAACAAAAACATCTTAACATTTACAAAGATAGTGGAGAAAAAATCTGGATCAAGCCATCTGCCCATCTTATAGGGCAAAAATGGTCTAAAAACAAGTCCGACAAAGAATGAAAAAATAATATTTTGTAGCTTCAGCCACAAAAAAAAAAAAAGAGCATTGGTGACCGTTATCTCTATTGTGCTCAGCCTTTGGGTCAGCTATGTCTTCTCATCTGCAGCTCAGGGAATCATGTTCAGTCTTCCTGTGACTCTCTGTATCAATGGTTTCACTGAGGTGAGACTGACAGATATCTGACCCCTCCACACAGAAGGCCAGCCCCACTGCTTTCTCACAAGACAATGCAGAGCTTTTAAAGTGAGTAGATAAAACTTACTTAAGACGTTAGATGCAGTTTTTTGAACAAGGAGCAGTTCATATAATCACCTCCATTGTTTTTTTCTCATCAGTTTGAAATATATTACATTTTTTAAAAATCTTTCTTTCAAAGCAATTATTCGGTTTGCAAATAGGAGTTGGGGCTTGTAACATCCTTAAGATTCCTTATTTTATTGTGTTTTTCTGTATAAACAAAACATTTATACAGAAACATTTGGGAGCTTCTACCAAATGTCTTCAGCTTAAAAAGACAGTGCATTAATTGGCTTTAAGATTTATTGCGGATTATTGGCTCTCTCATCATTGTCATTTTATGCATTGTGTTCCTGCTGCTAAAGCTACTAAAAACACTCTTAATCATAAATCTACTACTGTGCAAATTATCAGCAGTCTGCGATATCAGTTTCTGTTTTATTCAGTAATTTTTGTACTATTAAACTAAGGTGAAAGGAAAAATGTAAGGACAAACTATAGAAATGTGTCTGTTCAAAGTTCACCGATAACAATGTGTTCAGTCTACAATTTCTTCCTTTTTTAAATCTTTCTGATACCTCCTTTGGTATCCACAGTGTTCACAGCCTTTATTAGGAGGGCAGCATTGCTTTCTGTGTATTCCACAAACACCAGCAGCAACTTGAGGGACGTCTTCACCACCAGACGAAACTGTTAAAATAGACAGAAGGCATAAATACAGAATTCAAGAGGGCAGCTCAATATTGATACAATGATAGCTCTAAAATCAACTTTAGACATATATATATATATATATATATATATATATATATATATATATATATATATATATATATATAATATATATATATATATATATATCCATTAGACAAACAGATCTATGATGGATCTAATAGGCCATTTTTCATTTGAAGCAACAAAGAAACAGCTGAGTATTCTCTCATAATTTACACAAAATAGCTGGCAAATAAGATCTAAGGTTAAAACAAGATCTTTCCTCAAGCAATTTGGCCACAAGGGGGCTGAAGCACCACAGTGTCAGGAAAGGGTTGAATCGATTAGGACATCATGATTCAATCTGTTTTTAAGTGCTCTGATAAGATTACCTGGCTGAGACTGCTGCAATGACATTACAGAGTTTACCATCTCTGCAGGGAGTGGAGATCTTTTCAGAGCTAATAGTTAAATTATTTTTACCTTTGAGCCAACCAAGGTGTAAAGCCACTGGACTGTTTCATTGTGAGATATGAGGCCATTCATCCCATCCACGTACAGCATTATCTGGCCTAAAGCTACAGAGAGAAAAGAGCAGAGAACAAATTAGATTAGAACAAAAAATACTAGTTACTGATCAATGTTTGTACAGGCATTGAAAAGAATGACTCTTTACTTGACACTTCATGTGAAAGCAGTCCGACCATTGACATAAAGGTCTACAAAATCAATAAATCAACTTGAGACAACATATTGTCAGTATTGTCACGCCTAAGTATGTCGGCATGAGGGAGGCTTCACTAGTAAATGCCAGACTTCAGAAGAAAAAAGATCAAAATGTTTATGACCAAAGTTAGATAGGCTAATAACTTTTGTCTAGTAGTAGAGAAAATGCCATTTTGCTGCATGTTAACTTGGTGCAGAAAGATTGTTTGCTGCAAAATTATAGACATGTCTGCAAAATCTGCCATGTAAAATTGGGATGTTACAGTAAAATATATATGTATATATATTAGAAATATAGAAGTTCTTAGTTTAATATCAATAGAATCCCAAAGTGAATGACCAAATAAAAGAAATATTTAATGTTCCTCAAAAATAGAACAATGTAATCATTTCTTCCGCAGTTTAAAACACTTTCTCATGAGACCTGCTAAAAGCCTGCAGTTATGATACATTTCCCTCTGCGTTTCTCATGGCGGGTTTGAAAATCATGTATCTGCTGTAGATAAGCCAAAATTCCCAGGTGCAGCTGCTGTGTGTACATCACGCATGAGAGCGAGCATGGATCCATATCTCTGTGTGGATGTGCATGCTAATGGCTCTCTGGAGCAGCAGCCGCAGAATTTCATCTTTTGTCAATAAGGGGTCAGTTCGTCCCAACATGTCAGACGAAAACACACTTAACGGTTAATTTCTGCTGCATGCTCTGCAGCAAGGAAAACAAAACTAAATTCATCAACAAACAAATACAGGAACAGCCGAGCCTGCATGTTTCTTTTCAAATCCATACCTGCAATAGGGTCACAGTGCAGACCTTTATCTCTTGCAGGCACCTGTAAAAGGTATCTGCAGAAGTGCTCTGTGGTTTTTGAGGAATGTCCAGAGCAAACAGGAGTGAGAAAACAGAGGTGGCCTTAATGAGGCTTTTAAAAGTGCCATTACACAAAGCTGCTGACAGATGAGACTTTATCTGGTAGCCACAAAATGAAATACCTTTCAGATCATTCTGACATGTTATCATAAGACATTAGTAAAAAAAAAAAAAAAAGAAAATTTGATAGAAAGTGGCTGAAGTTCTGGCTTAAACATGAAGCCAAGTAAAAGAAAAACGAGAACGAATGTATGGCACATGGATTTTATTCAGTGAGAAGCAAAATATATGCAAACTGTTAGAAACCACAATAGAACCCACATAAACATTACCTTTTTCCTCACATATCAACAGTACTGCTTCATGAAAGCCTTCTTTGCTGGAGGTCACTTATGTGCAATTTAATGTAAAGCTCCACAAACCACATGAGTTAACAGTCATGGTGAAATGACATTGGAACCGTTTAAAGTAAACTGTATTGCCCTTCAATTTAAGGATATCTACAAGCACAGAGAGGAAATTGTCTAATCACTTTCTAAATGATTACCAATGCAGACAGCAGATAGAGTTGGTACACTTTGGCAAACTAACCTACATCTAATAGTTATTCGGTGTAAGACAATCTAGGCTATAATGTTCCTTTTTCCTTCAACTCTCCCTGAATTAATAGTTTGTGGAACAACCTCTTGCTGGAATGACAGCTGCAAGTGTTAAGATGGAAATTTGTGCCTAGTCTTTTTTTTTCCCTTTTCCAAATTAGCCCCAACTGTCAGAACGAATGAAGAGCCTGTGGGAACTTATATATCATAAGTCTATGGAAGCTAAATTGGATTCAGTTTTGGACTTTGGGTCATTCTCGCCTATGAATGAGCTTTGAGCTCAACCAGTCTAGTTCTGACTGCGTGTTGAAGATGGTGGTCTTAACGATCCTCCAAATTAGAGGATCGTGGGAGAACCTCCAACTTAGTCTCAAGTGTTTTGCAGTTTCTAGTCTAAGTTTTAGGTGGATAGCCATGTACTGGTAGGTCAGTAGTTGTTTCTTCATTTTCGGACGATGGGTTGAACGGTGCACCAAAGGATGTCCAATGGTTGTGATATCAATTTATAATCTAAACTCTAAACTTTTCCACAACTTTAGTCATGATGTCATCTTTAGTCACTAATCTCTCCAATAAATCTCACAGCAACTCTGTTCAACCATTAATGATTCAAAGTAATGCAAAACATTTCTACCAAAGGAAACCCAGAAGATTGCTTCGAGTTATTGATACATTGAAGTATGTTGTTGTAATATGTGTGTGAAAATGTGAGAAATTTTAAGGAGTAGCTTCCAATGACACATAGTAGTTGCATTAAAGGATGTATACGGTTAATGTAACATCAAGCTAAGCTTTCAGGCAAGATGTCCTACATTTTACTGAAATCCAGCTTCTGTGACAGTGTTTAATGAGAAGCTTTGTCTCTGCTGATCAGTCATTTTATCTCAGTGGAAAGCTTTTTTTTTCCTTTTTTGATTGATTGATTTAAAACTTCAAAAGGTAACTGCAGACCTATGAACTGTGGGAGATATAAACTGACCTAGAATTGAGAAAGAACTCCAAGCTTAAACAACCAAGGTCTGATGGAAGTGTTTCTTCTGGGCCTCTCCCTCTCATAAACCACAGTAATTATCTTCCACAGCCTCAGGAATGTGCAGGAAGGGCAGCTCCATGACCACTGCTGAGGTGAGAAGCACACTGAGGTCTGGGAGGCTGGACCATCTCAAGTGAGCAGAGTCAAATGTAGATTCCCAACAAAAAACTCAAAGTTTACCTTTAAAGAATCAGCTAACCAGTGAGATGTGTTGCTTGCATTTACCACTTTGGTTTCTCTTGCATTTTAAATGAAATGGGTCAGCCAAGCTGGCTTGTTAGGGCACAACATCCATTTTTCCAGGAATTTTGGTTACAGGCCAGTTCTCCATCCAGACTAATGCAAGTTAAAGCCCCTTATCTTATTTATTTTGCTTTACTGAGAAGCTGGACTCACATTTTTAATTTTAGCACTCCATATTTTCAGAAGCTTTTTTTGCTTTACGATAAGATCCAGAAAAAAATTCTACAGGTATAGTTTGGTTTGGTTATCTTTCTATAATCAGAAGAAAAAGAAATTCTGCAGAAGTAAAAGATAGATTAAACTAACTATGCTGATTTAAAATGTGCTTTATTTAATCATTGAGGGAAACAAAGTTTATTAAATGTTCAGAGTACGAGTTATATACTGACAGAAGACTTTATGACTACTAATTTGTGAAACGGGTTGCTTGTGGTAATGAACTTATGGAAAACGTCTCAGTTCTCAGCCCTGCAGAGCTTTATAGTGTTTTCTTAAGCTATATTTCATGGCTTGCCTCTTCCTGGGGATTGGCAATAGTGCTGGTTGACCTTCAGGGCTGTTGTTAGCCGCATACAGCAATAAAAACCCATGAACATACTGTATATTTGATCAAATTACAGCTTAACTCTAAGACTTTAAAAGGAAAAAAAAAGATTACTAAGAGACGCTAGATAAATAATTGATTTTTCGGGTTTGGTAGTTATGACAAGACAATTTGAGATAAAATATGTATAATTTAAGTTAATTTAGCATGGGGTCAAGTTTGTTCAGAGTGACCTTTCCCTCAAATAAATCATGTTATGATTTTAAGAGTTTTTTTTGTTGTTTGCTATTTACTTAGATTATTTTTGTTTAATCTCTGAAGTTACCTAAAACAGACCTGATGAATAAATTTACTAGTACACCTCATTTCTGCACATTAGCATCCACTTTCCAATTTGCAACAAATATTATTAGCTATATTAAGTTGGGTCTTTCAGACACTGGTTTACAGAAGATGCTTAGAGAAGTGAAATATCAAAAATTCTGGGTTGTAGTAATTTGAGGTTTACTGACATTAGAATCAAGATTTATCTCAATTCACACATTAATTTTATGTTTGTTAATAAAGTTTATGGTTTTACTCATTTGTTCTTGCATTTTAAATTTTGTACATTTGTATGTTTGTTTTCTAAGCAACGTCCAACTAGAGATAAACATTGCAAATTGGCTAAGGGTGTCAAAGTTTTAGTCTGTTGACATCAAAACCTTGTCACTACTTCTAACCAGTGAGATCAGAAATTTGTTACAGCAAAATGTCTGAAAGTATATGTAGTGAAGCTTCACCTAGTGTGTGCAGTCACACAATCTACGGTCAAGAAACAAAGCCAAGAAACTTTATTTGATGATTATGTTGAAAGCTGACACATTTCCTTGTGTTTCTGACATTTTTCCTCACTGCATTCAATGCCTCAGGCTAAGGTCTGATTTAGCATTTGAGGGCCATAAAAAGACAAGTTTACAGCTCGGCTCTTATTGTATATGATCTGGATTAAGACATGGTCGTGGGCTGCCTTCTATTTGTTAGTCAGCTAATCACCCAGACCATTAGAGCCAGACAAAGTGCCTCTGCCAGAGCAATTTCAGTCACCGTGCTGTCTGCCAGACTTGCACTGAGCCCCATAAAGTGAAACAACTGGGGGATACTTTCATTTTCAGGCGTGCATGTATTTGGCATCCGACAAAATTTGGTGTAGGCACTAATCACAAACACAATCCCCAGAGACAAACAAACAGAGCTAATGGGACATTAACATTAAGTAAAGCAAGAAAGCCTCTCTGTGATATTTGGCTGAGCAAGCACTGAGCACAGAGGAGGGCAGATCAGTAAAAAGAGGGGAAGGAAAAGATTTTTTAAAACTATTTTCTCTACTTCTAGTCCCTCTTATAGATAGTTGCAAATGTAGAGTTGCTTCTATCCTAAATAAATAATAAATGTTGCAAAAAAAAAAAAAAGAACAATGAACAGCGGGGCTTTTTGCCAACAGATGAGCTTCTGCATTCCATCCAAACAGGACAGTCTTTGGCAAACTGCATCACATCCACCCACTTGTAAAGTGAATTGAAGAA